TCTTTGAATTCTCTGTTTTCCAAGAGAAGTGTCTGTCTTCCAACAAAAGTGTTTGTCTCTCAAGCTATATGGATTTCACAGGTGGGTCAAGAGAACGATCTTGAAAATTAATTTTTCTAAGAGAATTTGTAACTAAACTGAAATAATATCCTGTGGATTTTTCACACCCTTGGGTGAGCCTGCCAGGGATGCAGATGCTCGTGCTCGGACTTCCATGTTAACTAGACTTAGAGCAAACAGAACAAAGAGGTTCAGCCTTTTCCCTATTAAGTGGCTCATTCATTGGAGAAAGAGCAATGATGGAAAATAGAAATATTGTCCTGCTCCTAAGTTCTCCTTCTTTGTATATATAAAAATATATAAGAAAACTCCAGGAGCTGGTTATTTTCTGCACTCTCAAAAGTATTCCACTCCTTGATATATGTACCACAGCACTGATATTATTCCTGTGACCTTTAAAATAGCAAGATTTTACCAGCACTGAAGGCAGCTTAATGAACATGGGAAGCTTCAGCATCTCAAACTCACTTGTTTAGTCTTCCAATGTCTGGGTCCTAGTTAAAATCTCTGGGTGGTTAGTTCTGACTCAAAAACATTTCCATCATTTCTTAAGGGAATTGTGATTGAAAAAACATGAGGATACTAACACTCACATACAAAGCAAATGCTTCATTGTCCTCACAGCCCCTGAATACAGGCTTTGTTCTTGAAACTGGTACTTATCACTTGGGCCATTCCCCACTGATAATAAACAGTGCTATCCTTGGTGGGCCCAAAACTCTTGGCAAAGTTTCTTAAACTGTGGCCAAGGACTACACTTCTTCCCAGATGCTTGTTAAAATGCAGATTCCCTATGCCACTTCAGGCATAGAGATTACAACCAGTGCTGGGATCAAGCCTGGAAATCTGTATTTTATCTAGCATACCGGGTGATTCTTGTGTACACTAAAATTTGAGAATCATATGAAGGTAGCATCTCTTGCCAATATACAAATTGTTCCAGGAAAGAGTTTTTTCTTTTTAAATGAAAGACTGGATTTAAAGACTCTTAGAGGAGAAAAGCCAGGAAGACAAGAGAAAAGGACAAAAGGCAGGGAGGGAGAAGGAGGAGGGAAGAGGGATAAAAAGTGATGGAAACAAGAACAGAGATATAATCAGATTGTACACTTTTAGAGGCACTAACCTAGGAGCCCTGGGAAGTTCCCTCCTCTCCTCCACCTCTCTCCAGCATAGTCTGCAGAGTAAAGGACAGCACCCTTTGGGAAATTTCCTTTAAAACACAGCTTCCAGTGGTGGCACCTAGAGATGACCACCCAGTTGCTTCGGTTGCTGACAGAGCTGACATTCCTGAGCATCTGCACCTGAGCTAAAACCCTAATATCAATTTCCAAGGTTGAAATTACTGCTTTAGGACAGGCAAGCTGGGACCTGATAAGTCCAGCAGCTCAAATGAAGCTTGTATCTACCTGCAAGCCCACAGAGGGATAGCACAGACAAGGAGCAACAGCACATCCAATTCAGAATCACCATTTTACTTGCCACAGATGCAAAATTTCCTGTCTCCTTTCTTCCTCTCTCCTTCAACCCAGCTGCATCATGGGCATATGCATTTTCTCTTTCCTCTTTTATTTCTATTTACACATTTGGTCCATACAGGGTGATAGCCTATTGCCAGTAGTTGCATATTCCAGACTCAGAGAATTAGAAAATGCTATAGCTGGAAGCAGACACACATTGAATATCTACAGTTACAGTCAGTCAGTTTACTTTCATCAGCTTTTGCCTGAGTGGTCTTTGTTGACCTTGCTTTGTAGTTGCTTATGGCCACACAGCCCCAAAACATGCCATTTATGCAGAATTCTACTTTACTGTTCTGAGAACAAAACTGCTACTCTTTCCTTCCACTTACCCAGCCTGGTGGAGGGGATGTGGGGTTGAGGTACGTTCAAAGCCAAGAAAGAACCAGAACCAGTGGTTCAATAAAAACAACTGAGAATCACCATTGAGCCTAAATTTCCCATCACTGGGGACATTTGCATCTGATTTTGTGATGCTCTTGAATAATGCAGATTTGTGTGTTTTGATCATTCACTTCCAAATAATTCACAAAAAAAATGCTGCCATGGTGAATCACGAATCTCTCAATGACACTCAGCACACCTGGGCTATTATGGAAGGTTCGCTCGCAAATGCTGCAACAGCCACCAGCCACAATTTCTAAGTGAGTCTCTGACAAAAGAGAACAAATTTATATTTATCCTTCTGCTGTTATTTGTCTGATTGTTGCTTTGTTTTCTTAATTAACAAAACAATAATTTTTATAAACAATCAAGGAAGAAAACAGAAATTTAGGATTATTGCCCTTCAAAGCTACCTTTGCATTTTGAATCATTACTAATATATACTGTTTACAAAGCTGCCATAAGCACCCAGATAAAATGCTTCTTATTTATAAATACTGTTAGTTAATTCCAGATAGAATGCCAGGCTTTCAGGCACATTGATTTTAGTTTACTTGCTTAGAAACATGCAACTTTACCCCAACACTTAATCAGGCAACAACAGCTAGAAAGGTGGGCAGAAAAATTCAGTTCTCCTGAGGAAAATCCCAAATTGCTTCTACACTGTTGATTAACATCTGGATCACCTTAAGGGTGTTTGTGAACCAGCAGGAAATAAATTTTTGGAGAAGGCCATGGACTTAGGGATGGTTGCTTTAGTGTTTAATAATAAATCATTTTCAGTTGATAGAAAAATACTGAAATCTGACTTATACATATGAAGCTGATTCAAATTTGATAAACATGTTCCCAAAGGAAATTACTGCGTTTATTAAAGGCCTAGAATGGCTGAACAGAATTGCAAAGGTCTTATCCTACAGTACTTGCTGAAGGTAGAGAAACTGCTCCCCCCACCCCCGTCCACCTTTCAGCCAACCAAAGAGGAAGTTCAAGAGTAAGGAAAGAGCAGGGCTGTTTTCAGTCAAAGCTAAAAGTGGCTATGAAGTACCAAGATACCCAGGGCTAGCTGTTGTCTACACTGTCGCTGCCTTGCTGGTAAAATGTGATGTGTTGATGACTGTTACATTACATCTAAAATCCCATTTACTAGTAATAGAAAAGTTCGGTTAAGACTTTTGCCTTATGTCTCCTGGCGCTTGACACAGCATTGTGTGATATTACCAATTTTCGCTTCAGGAGTATTCACATGCAACAGTGAAGACTTCACAAGAATTTACACATTTGATCCAGGGTGAAATTATGCCATTTTCATAGCAAATCAACTTTTCCCTGGCAGGAAAGTGATAGGTACTTTTGCACCTAGAGAAATGCCTTTGTTTTCAAGGAATAAAAAAACAAATGTCTGTAGAGGGATTGTGATTGAGTCATTCAAGGGAGAGGCCCAACTGGCAAGAGTCCTCTTGGCTTCCTTTCCAATGGGGAGCAAGTCTCTTAACTCTTCTTGTTTTGACTTTCTTGCTTAAAAAAAAAAGAAAGAAAGAAAAATAGAAGTCACATGCAATCTTTTTCTCCTATATGGGACACAACTCCATTGCAATGCCTTCTCATCTCTAACATCACACAACACACAGAGAAAATGTCTATAAAAGGGAAAATTGCTGTTGATGTAACATGTGAAATTTCACCTCAATGAGCTTTGCTTTTTAGTGGTGTCAGAGGCAGCAGGAATTTATTCATGCAGCCCTACTTATTTGCAGACTGGGAGTAAATACTAGGCCTTTTGCAGCGATTACCAAGAGCCCCCTTCAGTAGAAATGATATACTGCCTTCCTGCATCACATTAAAGTGGAGGATTGAGAAGTGAGCCCAGCTGAGCCGTTCTGTACACACCTAGCCAGAGTGCAATTTATATTCATACAGAGCTGTGAGTGGTTTTCAGAGAAAGACAGGGAAGAAGAGCATTTCTCTGGAAATTTGTCACCAAAAGCAGCAACTAAACTCTGATTTGTCACTGTTATTTTCTTTGTAATGGTTCTTTCTTCTTCTTGTAAATTCTTCCCTTTCTGTAGGATTGATACCTAAGACTGCTAGGTATCTCCCTTGATTTCTTTTTAAAAAATAACTCTTCCATAATTTTTCTTTTAAATAGTGCATATATCCTTTCCCTAAGTTTTTTTGTATTGAGGACATAGTCTATGACTTTTATTTCTGGGCAAATATTGGGAATTACCAAGCTTTACTCTCATGAACAGAATCTAACTGTACCCCATAAAAAGTCTTGTGCTGTTACTACAGGTGAAACTGACGAGAAATTGGAGAAGAAAGGATTGATTTGTGTGGCATTTGGTGGCTGCCAGCCCTTTTGTTGGTATTCAGTAACTTTAGGATTTTAATATGGATGTCTGGAAAATATGGTGGCTGAGCCAGAAAATGTCAGCTAGGGTCAAATTTAGTGTTTAGTGGTCAGAGTCTTTTTGTATCATCAAATATTCCCTACATGGAATGGAATGTTTGACTATATATAAAAAGCATTTACCTACCATTTGACCCTGTGAAATTATATTTCACTAATAACCAGTAGTCTCCTTTTTTTTGTGGAAGAAAATACACCTAAGATAGTTATTTTTCTGGCATTCTTTTGTCTAGTTTTGTTGTCTTCCCAGGAATAAATTTGAGGCATCCGATGTCACTTTACATAAAATGGGAGCAGTAATAACCTTTACAAAATATCACATAGGGCTGGGTGCAGCGGCTCATGCCTATAATCCCAGCACTTTGGGATGTCGAGGTGGGAGGATTACTTGAGCTCAGGAGTTCAAGACCAGCCTGGGAAACAAAGCAAAACCCCATCTCTACAAAAAATACAAATATTAGCTGGGCGTGGGGGTACATGACTATAGTCCCAGCTACTTGGGAGGCTGAGATGGGAGGATCATGTGCGCCCAGGGAGGTCGAGGCTGCAGTACGCTGTGATCATGATCACTACGCTCCAGCCTGGGCAACAGAGCAAGAACCTGTCTCAGAAAAGAGAGGGGGGGAACTGCATAAATATGAAACAGATAAATAATCATAATGTCATAACAAACAAATGAGTATGTGCACATAGCTATACCAGCAAAATATAGCAGAAAATGATGGCTCTGATAGGAGTTAATTGTGGAGATGTGCCAGAAACAGCAGCTTCGTGGATGGTGACAAGACAATGTTTGTGGCTTGAGGGCCCTGCTGCCTTCGGATTCTGGCATAATTTGCTCTGATTTCCATCAATTGTTTTAACTCTGTCCAAAAAAAAAAAAAAAATTTGAGAGACAAGTCAATGTCATGGAGAATAATTAAAAGTCCAGGATGATGAAAAACTTGAAGACCCCTCAAAAATTCTTGGCTCCCACCCTGGGCTCTCTCATTACACCTTTGACTTCTTATCATATCAGATATGTGTTAGTAGTCTTTGGATTTCTAGAGAATGGAAGTTGCTAGAGAAGACTTCTTTCCAGGTTTATTACAAAGTCTGAATTGGAAGCTAACCTAGGGCTGGTCTAAAAATTGGGACAATGAAAAGATAGAAAGCAGCAGTGAGAAGTGTTCAGATTTTATGGCAAATGGCATAAAGCACCCTTTAAATTTTGTCAGGGGTTTGTGTGAAATAAGCCATTCTAGTAGCATCTGGGTTTGTTTTGCCAAATCCAATTGAATTTTTAAAAACCTGATTTGATTCTTTGATGACTAACTTTCACATACTGAATGTTTTTGGTATTATAATGCATAAATAAGTTCTTTTAGAGTGGTTTTGAAACTCCCAGACTGCTTCATTTACTTCCTACTTAAGCCAGTAGGTCACAGAAAAATCATGAATGGAATGATTAATTAATTAAATGTCCCTTAACAGGTTGCATGTAGTTGCATTTCTATCTTTTCTTTTTCAAAGCACTCTGAATACTTAAATTTCTAAAAAAATGATTATTACGAACAATTATTTCAGGAAAAACAATAAAATGGCAACAGTAAAATAAGTTTCTAAAAAACAACTAAATCAGACTTTCTGTGATCAGAGATTTCCTGTAATTTCCTAGAACCCATATAGCTCACTGGAAAGAACTGAGACAATAGAGGAAACCACTAATCCTCTTACCATGAAGGTAACATGGGGACCCTACTGTCATAGGAAAGGAATAAACTTTCATACGATGCAATCTATGTATTCACAGAATTAAAGATGCAAAAATGAACATTTGTCTCCAAAGCTTTATCAAAGATACACAGAGCTAACAGGGAGGAAAATGGCAGAAAGAGTAATATTTGCATTTCCAATCTTTTTTCTCTTCCATTCACAGTTTTTATTGTTGACGAGCTTGCTTCTGGGAAGGCAGCCGACATCTCTCTCTGTTGTTGGATACCCTTTTGGCTAGCTTGCCTGAAGTATATTTAGCTTTATTTATCACACAGGCTCAATGAACACAAGGCTGCAAGGAAGGTGTGGTACAGGCAACAGAAGCCCATCTCAGGAATATGAAAGACTAAACCTAGATAATGAAGGGACTGGGAAGGTACCTCCAAATGCACACTTGTTTGCTGACTACTCAACTGCACTGTAATTATTTCACGTGTGTTCAAATTCTTAATTAGATTGAAAACTCTCGGGAAAGGAGCCTAGCTTATGTTTATTTTATAAGCTATGTACTTTGTGGATACAGAAAACTACTAACTAATACTTGCTGATAATAAGAATCTCATCATTGATGTGTTCTTCTAAGTCCCTGTAGTGAGGGTCACCAAGAACCAGGGTGATGGGTAGTGATGGGTGATGGGAGCAGCAGAAAATAAAAAGAATAAAAGGACTTGAGCCTCGTCCATGATGTAGGATGGTGCAGGAGGAATATTTGTGGCTTCCTTCAGAACAGTGCTAGGCATCCTAATAAATCCTGTCTTCCTACTTTTTGGTCTCCATTTCTATCCTTTTGTCCCTTCTGGGCTAAATGTAAAGATATGATTGCAACTGTTTTAGAAGTTTTTGGTTTCCCTACATTACATATAACATAGTAATAATAATTTTAAGGTGACTTCTTAAAAGAAAATATCTATGGTTACTATTATAGGGATACCAGGCAATTCATTACCTAACCTTTTAGTTTCCTTTAGAGTGCTAACAATGTTCTTCAGAATCTCCTGAAAATTATATCTTTGCTAATATATGCCTACTTACAAAAACAGGCTTTGAATCCATCAGGATACATAGGATAAAGAACTAGAGTTCACTCAATAACAAATATATGTTCTTTTCAATTTCTGCCATTTATCAAAGAAAATTACCAAGAAATAGACAAGATAATAATTCTAGAATATATTTACTTATTACTAAAGAAAAGAAACTGCAAACCATATAATTACTATTAATAAAACATTAGGGTTTAAATCATTTGGAAAATAGGAAATCAGTGGAGTCTCACTTTCCTCAGGGTTCATACTAGGGGAATATCTTCAAATGAGGCTCTCAGTATTTCTGCAAATAAGGCCTCTGGATAAGGTTCAAGATTAACTGAAATCTGACTGAGTTCTTCAATTCAAACAGTGTGGACATGAGGTTCCAGCACATAAGTATATAAATTTAACTTCTATAACATGGAATAGAAACACTTGGGGGAGGATAGTTATTCAAAATCATTGTGATGGGACATATAAGCTCTTTGAAGAGAAGATTGTTTTAATTCTTCAATTACTTGATGGAAAAAAAACTATCACACATACCTTTTGGGGTTCTGAAACCATGTCCCATAGACACACAGATGACCATATCTTGCTCTATGTCATTCCAGGACTGAATTGGCTCACCACTGGGGGTGTACAGTGCTCTGGCTGGGTGGGTCATTTTGAGACGAGAGGAGCAGTCTTCCAGCAGCTGAGACACAGAGAGACAGCCACATTTGAATATGGAATGGCACAATATAATCAATCATGTATCAAAGAACCAACTCTTCTAAGAGAACTATTATCCCAGTTTGATTATTTGCCCACTAATAGTTGTTAGACATAGGTATAGAAGGGATGGGAGGAAGGGTCCACAAATGTTCCCTAAAGTGTTTAAACAATGAGGAGCTTTTGGACTCTCCAGCAAAGTTAACCCTATAGTTCTGTATTTTTTCCATGGAATAAGTCTTCTCACTATTTAAGAAATTCCTAAATACGGTAAACACTGGATTGAAAATCTAGACTTCTCAAAATAGCTAAAACATTTTTTTAATGACTAAGGAACTAGAATGACAAAAGGTGAGGAGACCCAGGCTCACTCCTGTTTATGATCTCAGAAATGTAACATTGCTTCAAGAGTCTCCTCAATGATAAAATGGAAATTTTGGTCGAAGACTTCACTGGCTGTATGATTCTACGTTTAAAACGTCTTCTGTTTTTAACTGATACACTTTTAAGCTTTCTAGAAAGGCCTTATTAAACTGCTCTCAATTTTACTTGAATACTCACTCATAAAAACACATGTACAGATACAGCAACAATGGTACCAGAAAGATTAGTCAACATGCTGCCAGATTCTTGAGAGCAAATCCATTAAAATGTGAATAAAACTTTAAAACAAAATAATAAAAGCAAGCAAGAAGAAAGTGAGAGGCTTCTACATAACTGCTCGTATTACTTTCACCTAGCAGAGGGCCAAAAGCCTGTTCCCCCAAACTGCAGGTGCCAAGTCCACATCAGCCCTCCAAATCACCACCAATATTTCTGTATATAGATCTGTTTAGAGGCAACAGCTCACAACAAGGCAGCACGGCAGGGGTCTGGGCTGGGCATGTGATGGCCTCTTGCATCTGGAAAGTGCATAAATAATACAAGAGTGATGGAGTGATGCAATTCAAAAATTACAGCTTTTTACTCAGTATTTTGAGTAAGAGACAAATGGATTGAGTTTAATGATAACTGAAATTATCCAAAAATATATTCCCCTGTATAGAATGGGATAGTCAGAGAAGAACAACAGGAGAGTGGTCTTAAATGCAGCCCAACTCCTGCCAAGTAACAGCTAGTCAGAAACAATTTGATTAAATACTCTGCATATAAACCAATCCTTCAACTTAGCATTGAGGGAGGATTCTGACAGCAAAGAGAACTAAGCTATTCTGTCTATTATCAAAAGACCTTTCTTTGTACAAGGAAATATAAATATAAAAAATCAACAACAGCAACAATGTAAGGTTTATGAAAATATTCTACAACATAAAAAGGAGTACATTGTACTCAAGGTGAAGATTTTAAAAAGGATTTATAGCAGTAGTACATTTTCAAGAGTATCGGTGTTGAGTTCACCCCAAATTCAATAAGCTATGACTTCCATAAATACACACACACATACACACAGAAAAGAGATAACCACAGCTTAAAGGAAAGAAGTATTGCTCAGACACAGGAGAGACGCTGAGACTGCTGATAACAGTAATATTGACTAAAATGTATTGACACATTTTTAGGGGCTGGGTATTTTTCTAAAAGTTCTCAAGGACAATCTAATTTTGTTCTGTGGACATAATTATCATCCACCTTTTGTTGATGAGAAAAATGGAGGACAAAGAGGTTAAATATCATAACCAAAGTAGTATAGCTGCTACTGAAAGAAGAAATAGGGTTTCAAGTAAGGATGAAGAGAGAGCTGAATGACAAGAGGAGAGGAGGTAGGAAATAAAAAGACTCAATACTACAGAAATTCAAATCAATATTAGAGCAGACTAGGTGGAGAAAATCTCACAGGATACAGAAAAAGAAAAAGAGATAAAATGTATGAGAAAGTTAAACATCTAGAATGTCAAGACATCAGATATTAAACCTATACATTAGTGGTGTTACTGGAGAAGAATCTAGAATAAATTATCCTTAAGCAACTATCAAAAAATAAAAGAAAACGTTCCTGTTCCAAATAAAGATCCATGCCTTCAGGTGAAGTAGTCTGACCTAGGATAAGGCAAAGTTTATGAGCAATAGGACTAAGATTTGAATATCAGAGAGCAAAAGGTATGGATTTCAAGCAAGGGAGAAAAATTCAGTTATATTTATACTCTGCTTTCTGTAACACTGAATACCAAAGAAAATGAAGCAAAATCTATGAAGTTATGAAGTTTTTAGGGGAAAAGCATTTAACATAAGAATTCTATATCAAGCCAAGTTACAATTTATGGTTAAAGGAAACAAATGATGCCTTCAGAAGATGTATCACACACATATATTTTGGATTATTAAGAAAGGAATCAAATTCCTTGACTATGGAAAGACATAATATAAAATGACTAATGTTAAGCATTAAGACTATTAGAACATGATATGCCTGCTACAAAAGTCATCAGGAAATAAATAAATTAAACTTTTAAAGTAAGTCTTCATACAGAAAAAAAAATGTGAAAACAGAGGTGGGCAGAAAAAAGAAAACCAAAGCATTTTTTCTTTCTCCTTTTTTTTTTTTCAGACAGGGTCTCACTCTGTCACCTAGGCTGGAATGCAGTGATGCAGTGATGCAGTGGCATGGTTAGGGTTTTTTATTTTATTTTATTTTTTATTGTATTTTAGGTTTTGGGGTACATGTGAAGAACATGCAAGATAGTTGCATAGGTACACACGTGACAGTGTGATTTGCTGCCTTCCTCCCCTTCCCCTATATCTGGCATTTCACCCCATGATATCTCTCCCCAACTCCCCACCCCCCACTGTCCCTCCCCTATTCCCCCCAACAGACCCCAGTGTGTAGTGCTCCCCTCCCTGTGTCCATGTGTTCTCATTGTTCAACACCAGCCTATGAGTGAGAACATGCAGTATTTCTTTTTCTGTTCTAGTGTTAGTTTGCTGAGAATGATGTTCTCCAGGTTCATCCATGTCCCTATAAAGGACACGAACTCATCGTTTTTGATTGCTGCATAATATTCCATGGTGTATATTGCCACATTTTCCCTGCCCAGTCTACCATCGATGGGCATTTGGGTTGATTCCAGGTCTTTGCTATTGTAAACTGTCCTGCAATGAACATTCGTGCGCATGTGTCCTTATAGTAGAACGACTTATAATCCTCTGGATATACACCCAGTAATGGGATTGCTGGGTCAAATGGAATTTCTATTTCTAGGTCCTTGAGGAATCACCACACTGTCTTCCACAATGGTTGAACTAATTTACACTCCCACCAGCAGTGTAAAATTGTTCCTAATTCTCCACATCCTCTCCAGCATCTGTTGTCTCCAGATTTTTTAATGATCGCCATTCTAATTGGTCTGAGATAGTATCTCAATGTAGTTTTGATTTGCATCTCTCTAATGACCAGTGATGATGAGCATTTTTTGATATGTTTGTTGGCCTCATGTATGTCTTCTTTTGTAAAGTGTCTGTTCATATCCTTTGCCCACTTTTGAATGGGCCTGTTTGTTTTCTTCTTGTAAATCTGTTTTAGTTCTGTGTAAATTCTGGATATCAGCCCTTTGTCAGATGGGTAAACTGCAAAAATTTTTTCCCATTCTGTTGGTTGCCGATTCACTCTAATGACAGTTTCTTTTGCCGTGCAGAAGCTGTGGAGTTTGTTTATTACAACCTTGACTTCCCCAGGCTCAGGTGATTCTTCCACCACAATCTCCTGCATATCTGGGACTACAGGGATGCATCACCATGTCTGACTAATTTTTGTTTTTGTAGAAACAGGGTTTCACCATGTTGCTCAGACTGATCTTGAACTCCTGGGTTCAATCAATCTTCCCACCTTGGCCTCTTAAAGTGTTGAGATTACAGGCATGGGCCAATACACTCAGCCTTCTTTCTTATCATTCATGAAGACAAAAGATGCTTTTTGGTTGCTAAGAATTAATTTTAAGATTATAAGTAATGCAATAAAACATAAAATCAGAATAAGAGAAACAGTTCTTTTAAAGGAGTAAGCAAAAATCACCATCATGTGAATTTAATATGATCTTATTCTTAGAAAACTTAGGTGAATCAAGTGAGAAATTAACAAAAATTAAAGCAATGAAGTGTCCAAATACAAAATAAATGTTAAAACATTAATAGTTTATCTGTTCAATGAAAATAGACATTTTGAAAATACAGTCAGGGAAAATCTATCCCCAAAACAAAATTAACTAGAAATAACAATTATTTAAAAATCTAAGACCTTGCAAAAAAATATAAAATTTCGCTGTGGACAAGAAAAAAAACTTATACATAAGTCTTTTTTACATATGTAAAAATAAGCATATTATATATATTTATATATAAAATATATAAAAGCAAGTATATTTTATATGTGTAAAAATATACATAAATTTAAAAACATCACAGCCTAGTTGTAGAAATTGAATAATGTAAAAGGTGTAAATTCCTATGAAATTAATTAATTGTCTAATACAACTACAGTCAAAATTCTATAGGATGATTTTATGATATTGAAATGTAATTCCAAATTTATCTGTAAAAGTCCACAGGAAAGAATATTCAAGTAAAATCTCACAACAATGGGAAACTTCTTTCAGCTATTAAAATTTAAATCTATATAATTTTAAAAAGTAATACTTTATATAACTTAAAAGCAGAAGCTAGAATATGCAAGATTTTAGCATAACATTGGTATTCCAACACAGAGGGGAGAGAAAAAAATTAGTCAATGAATAGAGCTAAGATAATTGTAAGCTAACAAATAAAGCAGAGAAAATAGCTTCACTCAAAATTTACACCAGAAAAAGGAAAAGTAAGAGAAAAACACAACTGCAAAAAAATTAGAAGAAGAGGCAGGTAAATCTTTGTATGAGCTCAAGATGATAAAGGACTATCTGAGCATTAAGAGCAATGAACAAACTTATAAAATGTATTACTTTCTATACTTAAAAAAACTCCATAGACATAATAGCAAATTGGAAATTTCTTACAATAAATCTGATAAAGTTATACATAATACCCTTATTACTCAGTAAAAAGCTTTTATCAATATGAAAAATATATATAATAGGAAAACAGCAAAAGACAAGGAATTCAGAGATGACCAATAAGTGATAACATAAAACAAACTGTAATCACCTCCACAAGCAATTAAAAATATATAAACTAAAATATGGGTATAACATTTTTCTTCTGTTGAACCTGTAAATGTATGATTTTAAAATCACTGGATGTTGTTGCAGTGTTGTTGATTTCGTCATGTATACAACAGTTAGATGGGAATTCTCAATGGCAACTTATGGGGGTATAAACTCCTGAAACATTCCTAGAAAACAATTTGGTAGTAGGTATCAAAATTCTTGGGCATGTTTATTAGCATGACCTAGCAATCCCTCTAGGAATTTATTTAAGGAAAATAATCAGAAAATAAATATTGGTTGCTGTATCAATATGTTAATTACAACACTCTTTATAATAGCAAGAAATTAGGAACAACCGAACTGGCAAATAATAGAAAACTGGATGAATAAATAATACATCCATTTGACAGAAGGTTATAATGCCATTGAAAACAATGTTTTTTCTAAGAATGTTAAATTATATGGGGAAAAAGTCACATTAGGTAAACAGAGCAGCTTGAAAAACTGTATATGCCATGTGGTTTACTATGATCACAAAGGCAAAAAAAAAATTATTGTTTAGAAATAACAAAAGTATATACACTAAAACTGTAATAACTGGTTATTTGTGGGTGATGTAATTTCATTTCCTTCTTGGTGCTTTTATTCTTTTTCTGTTTTCTAATTAGAAAACAATAAATGTTATTAAGATAATTTTAAAATTTCATAGAGATTATTTTCAAAAAGAGATTCCAGTATATTCATATGATTTTATTTTGTGATATTTCTAAATTCTCTTTAACATTAGTATGTTCTCGTCACTGCATTAGTATGCTCAGGCTGCCACAGACTGTGTGGCTTAAACAGTGGGCATTTATTTCTTACAGTTCTGGATTCTGGTAAGTCCACTGTCAAGGTGCCAGCAGATTCAGTTCCTGGTAAGGACTCCCTTTATAGCTTGCAGACAGCCATCTCCTTGTTTTGTCTCACATGGCAGAGAGAAAGAGGTCTCTCTCTCTTCCTCTTCTTATAAGGGCACTAATTCTACTGGATTAAGGCCCCACCTCAAGACCTCATTTAACCTTAATTACCTCCTAAAAGCCTTTTTATATCTTACATCTCAAAATATAGTCACATTGGGGTTGGTGTCGTCAACATATATTTTGGAACACAATTCACTCCATAGCAGTCACTAACTTTTTTTTTTCTACTCCAAGGAACCAAAGGGTATGGTAGCTGAGTTTCTTTCTAGAGTGGGAAAAATGAAGACCTATCCTAGAAATATATAGAGATAGGTATCTGAGAGAAATTTGTGTAGTTTGAAAAGATCCCACAAAGATGTATTTCTTATATTTTTCTTTCCCACCAAAATGTCAGTCTTCTATAGAGATCATGTTTTCTACTTATAAACAGAAAAAATATATACAAAATTTAACTGAAACATACTTTAAAGGCAAAACATAAATTAAATATATGGTTATTTTATTTGGGTTCTACTAAGACCTATTTACATGTAAACTCAATACATTTACCAAAAAAAATTTTTAATATGAAAATAAGGCATTTTCTCTGCTGTAACTGATGAAATGCTGCTGCTTGAAGGAGATGATGACACATCGTGCATGGAAGAAACAGACTAAGCTTTGGCCTAAAAATGACTTGTACTCATGTTGAATATTTTGTCTTCATTCTCTCTGATAATACATTTTCAAGGACATTTTCCTTTATTTTGATTAGCATCAAAAAAGATCTGTAAGGCATGAAAACAACTCCTTTAAGGGGAAGATAAGATTTATTTCTACTTCTAATTGTGACATTGTGAGGTTTTAGGCACTAAAGGAGGATTAGTAATGCCTCTTTAATTTCATTGCTTATTTTAACAGATCAACATAATATGTGCTATAAGATGTAGCAGCCTAACGTTAACTTTGAGGTCTAAGCGTTCAAGCCATATTCCTTAGTAGACCGAATCTGTTGGCACTAAAGTGTTCTGAAATGTACCTTGATGTTTAAAAGAAAGGTACTTGTTATTCTTCTAGGATCCGCTTCTTAAACTTTTCATACCCTGTAGTTGACAATTCTGCATATACTAGTCTGCTAGAAATAAGTATGTTAAACAGAAGCAACTTGATGTAACTCTCCACAGGGCTGGTTTCCCAAAGAAAAGTATTGTTGGGCCAGGCGCAGTGGCTCATGCCTGTAATCCCAACACTTTGGGAGGTTGAGGCGGCTGGACCACTTGAGGTCAGGAGTTCAAGACCAGCCTGACCAACATGGTGAAACTATAAATAAATGCAAAATTATACTTTTTGTATGTTTATAATTTTGCGTTTATTTATAGTAGATATACTATACTAATGTAGTATTTACTAGATTAGCCAGGTGTGGTGGTACATGCCTGTAGTCCTAGCTATTTGGGAGGGAGGAGAATCACTTGAACCCAGGAGGTGGAGGTTGCAGTGAACTGAGATTGTGCCATTGCACTCCAGCCTGGGCAACAAGTGAAAAATTCCCTCTAAAAAAAAAAAAGTATCGTTTAGAGGAGCAAAATTATAAGCCTATCTAGGCATCTTGTAAAGCTGTTCAAAAAGTAACTCAGTGAGGTTTGTGCATGAAAAGTGAGGTTTGGGCATGGAAATGTAGTGCCCAAGTCATATTCTGCTCTAAAAGAATGTAACAAATACAGATGAGTTGAAAATAAAAAAATTAGAGATTTTCAGTACAATTGGGATCTATGACATCTAGTGAGAAAGACATTCTTAATTCTCAGTTTTTCCAATGTATCTAAATTTACTCAACCATCTTCTTTAAAGTATATACCATAAATTATGTGTTTTTACAATAACAAAGTTCATGACAAAGGAACAAAGTTCTATAATAATTGCTCACCCATAGTGTATTTTCTGAGTTTTGTTTTCTTAGACCAGGTCTCCTCAGGTGTGGCACATGGGCATCATGGAACTATTGCATGCTCCCTGTGGGCATGAGGTACTTGCCTATCTAAATCAGAAGGACCTCTTTTTTCATTCCTTTAGCTTCTGCTCATGGATTCAGAGCCATTTCTGGGCCAAGGAAGAACACTCTGATTTTGAAATTCTGTAGAATCAGAAAGCTGCTGCAGGAATGGGAGAAGACAAAGGCTTCAGGACATTAGTAGGAGGGGCACAGGCAATCATAAATCAGAGAAAGATGCTGGTCCTGAAGAAAGAGCCACTAACCCTGGAGGGAGAGCCGCCTTGGTGCACTGATGACTGATAAGCCGACAACAGTTGGAGATGAGAGTAAGTCTAGCAATGTTCAAAGAGTGGGTGGGAAGAATATGGTTAAATCATCCAGAATAGCCACAGTAGCGAAAGCAGTTGAGAGAAAGTCCGCATTGGATGGGATTCAAATACCATCTGGGGGTTTCATTATATAAGGTAGAGAGAAGCACTTTGGAAATGTGCTCTGTTTATCTTTCTTCCAGCAAAAGTCTCAACCATTGAAATTCTGAGCTTCTTTGGAGTCAGTGTCATTAGCCAGACACCCCCAGTGAAATCCAAGGCCTACCCTTCCTGCTGCCTGTTCATTTCTCACACACAGTCCATCCTCCAGAGGTATTTTATACAGCCTGACAGTGTGAAAGGATACATTCCTAACTGATCACGAAGAATCCCATGCAAGCCCTTAAAGACAAAAATGCACAGCATGGAAAAAGAAAAGATTAGAAAGAACTTTTTTAATAAAACAAAGAAAGAAAATATATGCAGAAAAGTTTCTAGACATTCTCTAAGTGTCCTTTTACACACCTAGGCCAGGTAAGTCTTCCCAAAACATTGTTTCATCATGCCATTTCTTTATTCACAGGCAAGTAGTGGTTCAAGCACTTCAGTTTAGGATACTGTTATGGATTAAATTGTATCCATTCCAAATTGATGTTTAAGCCCTAACTCCTACTGTGACTATAATTGATGACAGAGCTTTTAAGGAGGTAATTAAAGTCAAATGAAGCCATAAGGGTGGAGCCTTATTCCAGTGGAACTGTTTTTTTATACATATACAAGAAAAAGAAGAGACACCAGAGTTCTTTCTGTCTCCACATGCACACAAAAGAAAAGTTATATGTGAACACAGCAAGGAGGTGGCTGTCTGTAAGCCAAAAAGGGAGGCCTCATCAGAAACCAATCCTGCTGGCACCTTGATCTTGGACATCCAGCCCCCAGAACTGTGAGAAAATCAACTTCTGTTGTTTCTGCTGCTTAATACTCAGTCTATGGTATTTTGTTATGGCTGACTGAGAAAACAAATACATATAGTATATGGGGTCTACCATATACTTTTAAACAATCTTTCCAGTCACATCTATCTCTTTCAATTTCTCTGTCCATGGGGCACCTACTTCATATACCTTATGAATTCTAATGCCCATATCTACACATGTGGTGCCCCTCATCCTTGCTAATGCTTTTTCTGCATAAGGTGTTGAATCTCCTCCATTTCTCAAGTTCCTTTGGAGTTCCTGATTGATTCCTCTGCAGAGCCTTGTCTGTCACCCTAGGTGAGCACTGTGCTCCACTTTTCTAAACTGAGAGTACTGCCTTCACTACTAATTTTACCTTTATCACAGTCTATCAGTACTTCTGTCAGAGGAATATCAGCTTCCCTATCATATAACTTTTCCTTATTTAAAAAAATCTGTACTCATAATAAAGAACACATAGAAAAGCATGGAAGAAAGAAAAATAAAGATCCCCCATAATATGACCATCTAATAAAATCATTATAGTCTTTTACTATATCTGCGTATAGTTGTGTGCAGAACTTAACTTCACATGCTTTACATAATGCTTCTTTCACTAAGTATATCTTTAACATCTTCATTATTATTTCAAAAAGGTTATTTTGAGTTATTGTATTCCATCCTAGTGCTATAACTCATTTAACCAACTCCCTATTGATGAGGTTTTTAAATTATTCATAATCTAGCTCTGTTAGAAATAGGCTTGCAATAAATATTCTTTCTTTTCTTTTCTTTTTTTTTCTTTTTGAGACAGAGTCTCACTCTGTAGCCCAGGCTGGAGTGCAGTGACACAAGCTTGGCTCGCTGAAACCTCCGCCTCCTGGGTTCAAGCAATTCCCTGCTTCAGCCTCCAGAGTAGCTAGGATTACAGGCACGTGCCACCACACATGGCTAATTTTTGTATTTTTAGTAGAGACAGGGTTTTATCATGTTGGCCAGGCTGGTCTAGAACTCCTGACCTCGTGATCCACCTGCCTCAGCCTCCCAAAGTGCTGGGATTACAGGTGTGAGCCATCGTGCCCGGCCTATAAATATTCTTAATAAATAATTGTTGCATGGGTTCATGAAAATATCCTTGGGATCAAGTTGTACAAGCCACTTTCTTATGATATGTACAGTCAAACTGTCTTCCAGAGAGTTCCCATTTCTCTACATTCCCTTCCAGAGTGCCCATTTCTCTACATTCCCAAGTAAACCTTGGACATATTGTTTTAAAGCTTTATCAGTTTGAAATATTAATTTAAGGAGACCACAGACTCCACTGCTACTTACTACTGTGGATGTTAAGCTGTCAATTATACAGCATCCTTAAGCTTACAAAAATATTTCCACAGACATAAATTAGAAACATAATTCACAGCATCTAGCATAGGCTTCTTCATATATAACTATCATTAAAAAAATTACATGATCATGGAATAAAAGTTATGAAATGCCTTTTATATGCTACACCAAGAGTCACATAAATCAAAAAGTCATCATCCCCTAGTTAGATACAGATATAAGTAATCCTTGTCAATTATTGCAAGTTTTTGCTACTCTGAACCTAATAGGCTATCTTCCCCCATTGTCTCTGCTCTACCCATTTACCCATTTATTAATCATGGTGTATTCTCTCAGAAATTTATGAGTTCTAGGTGAAACAGTTAAGTGCATTTTAACAGTGGTATCTACAACATGAACTCTGATTTTTTAAGAAACAAGCAAGGAAAAGATATTTCAGCTTGGTTATAGTGCTTTTTCTAGGTAGCACTCTTCTGAAAAAGCTTTCACTATCTTTTTTAAAATTCACTTACTTTTTTTCCCTACATATATGAAGATCCTTCACTTGTAATCCTAATTTTGAGTATACATTTTCTACATTTTAATCTATTACTTCTCAAGTATAACAAATTGGTTGTCATCTTTTGGTATGAAATCGCTCTGCTCTCATCATTCTTATTCAAATACCCTGTCAAAGAAGAGTGGTCTCCCTTACACTTTGAAACTGGATTAATGTCCAGGGACAGGACCCTGTCAGATGGCCCTGCTACGTAGATGCCATCACCAGCCTCCATGAACTTCTCCAAGCCAGTCTATTATACCGTCTTGCCTTTCCACATCCCAAACCACTAACAACATCTCTACATGACTTTCACTTGTCCCAGAAAAATTCATGAAAACATTTCACAAAATTAAAAAGACAAGCTACTATTTAAGACATCACTGCAACCGATAAGATTTTTAAAAAGACTTCTCAAATTCATTTATTATTTGCCTAAATTCTTCATTTAAAAATTAAGAAAAAATGTCAGAATTTTATCCCTGAAATTACAAACCAAAAATGAAATGTTATTCCTCTTTTCCTTAGTCAATATTTTAACTTTGGGAAGCGAAAATTCTGACAGCTCTAGGTCTTTGGGTAGTAAGAATATGATAGGCTTTCTCGAATGAGTACCATTGTTTTTCTTAAATAGAACATATCTAGTAAATGATTCATGATGGGTGAAAAATATCACTCTTGTGAACTGGATTTAAAATGGATGAGAACACATGCCACTGCACTCCAGCCTGGGTGACAGGGCGAGACTCTGTCTCAATAATAATCATCATCATAATCATAAAAAATAAAATGCATGAGGAAAATTATTTTAAAGTTTAGATTTTACTCTTTGGTAGGAGTGTGTTGAACTGGCACTGTTCTCTGCTGGACAAGTGTCATATTCAGATTCACATATACGTCTGACAGCATTGAACTTCGCTTTGTCACACATATAAGCTCATTCAATCATGAGATCAATCCTACGAGGAAAGTACTTGTCCATTTAATGGACAAGCAAATGAAGTTCATAGAAGTAAAATAATTTGTTTGACTAAACAATCTAAAAAGATCAGAGCTGGGATTTGAAGCCAGGCCTATGAAACACTATTTTCATACTAGATTTACCTCTGAAATAGTTTTGCCCCAGGCATAAGTGCCATCTTCAGGTCTGCCTCCATTTAGATAAATCCACACTCGTTTTGTGTCGGGCTGTTTATACAGACTGCTTGGCTTGACTGCTATATGTTTAGTTGCAATTGGAAAATTTCTTTTGGATTCCATTTCTTGAACTTCAGAAAGGTGCACCTGTCCAGAAAAGCCCAGAGAATGTAGTGTTTAGAGAACTGTCTGTATAGTGTTTGTAAAGAATGTGACAAAATCCAGAAGCATCTTGTAATTATTAAATTACATGGAAAAATATTTTAGGAAGTAACTATTAGGAACATTACCTTTTTGTGACTGACTTTAGTAAATTCCCCTTGCTTCAATGAAACACTAAAGACAATAACAATCATTAGAAGAAGAGTAATAAGGCACTCATTTTGGCAAAGCACTTAACTCTCGTTTATAATGTGAAGAAATGAAGTGAGATGTGTTTTTGGACTTTTGCATGATGTTTCTCCTACTGAGAGATTTCTCTGCATCTAACAAATTAGTTTTTTATTAGAATCACATCATTTCCTCTAACCAAGAAATGCATACAGGAGTATACATGAGTGTTGTTTTAGTCCTTACTTGCTATCTTTTAAAATACAGCAGCCACCCTTATACTTTGCCAGATCCCTGACAGGCAGCTTTTTATTCTACTTCAAGCATGTCCTAGTTCAATGCTTTGCATTCATTCCCTGGTCAGTGATTTATCCTTCTTGGCTTGGCATGAAGTCATATTTCTAGGGATGTCAATTCCTTTTGTTCTAGTAACCTTGACTTGGGCACGTGCCTAAGATTTAGATTGAACACATTTCACGAATTTGAGAAATCTTATTAAATAGGAACATATCATTTTGATGAAAAACTTCACAAAGCAAAAAAGTTTTCCCTGGTCTCTCTCTCCAGTCTTCTCTCAACAGCTGACCTTTATCTTTTCGACTTTTTTATGTCTAGCAATCCTGACTGATTAACCAATTGGACTGAAACCACTTTTTTAATTCTTCACTTCTGAATGTCTCCATTGCAATTAGTATTTTGCTCCTTGCTCTTTTTACATATTGAGACATGCCCTTAGGAGTAATGAGCAATGAAGTCAGAAGGCTCAATTTGACTACAATTATTACAATTACCTTTGTACATATCCACTGGGTCTTTTTCTCTTCTTTGCTAAGGTCATAATTTCTGATCTCCGTTCAAACAAAACAGGCCCTTATATGAGCTGGTTGTCTTTTAGACAGCTACTCTCCAAATGCCAACTCAATGCTTGGCATATGCTTATATGATCATAACTGATCAGATGCTGAGAATATATTAACAGCATCATTTAAAAAATCTAATATTGTACTTTTAAATACTCATAAAAAGGGCAGAGTATTTAATGTCCAGAATCCCAAAGAGCATACCTCTGGATGTCTTATAAGTTCCATGAGTTTAATTTCCTCCTGAGTCTTTTCGGTCCATCCTCCTTCAACCACCACAGGCTGCACAGGGCTTTTGGTAGGAACCATGGTGGCAGACTGACAGGCCACTACTCGCCGCCCTGGGGAAACAAGTCTCTAGAAAGTTTGTTTCTGATGATAGGCTTTCAGATTTCAAAGAAGTTGGTTTGGCTTTATATGCATAAATTATTCCACACAGGAGCATAAGCTAAAATACTAAATATATCATAAAAGCAAAGATGCCCAAGGTAATAATGCCTAACAATACCTCTTTAGATGGGAGCTTCAGGCTTTAAATAGCTAGGATTCGCATACCTACTCTACAGATGGAAGAGGAAGATAACATGCCGATTTCCACACTGGCCTCAGCCTTGCATCCATGATATGGTTCAGCGGTAATTTAGTCAAATAGAATTCATGACCTTATATAGCCCCTATCATTCTTCTTGTCTTGGAACATATGTTTTGTTCTCTTCACTAATAATAAGCTTTTCCCCCACAATTAGCTTAGCAGTGTGGGGATTAAGTATTTCTAAAATAATATTAATCCAAGAGACGGGAACTTTTTTTTCTATCTAATAATACCCTGCGAGCACGATTAGTTTCTGACACCTCTGCTGTGCCCTTTATGCTGTTAGAAAACTGTAAGAGAAAATATTTATTGAAATACTGTATTCTAAAGAATCACAGGAATAATTTAATAAGTGTGAGGATTCCAATTCATGTGTTCTTTCAACTAGACCACTTAAAATAATTATAAAAGAGGTTTAAAAATTCACACTTATGAAATTGTTTTATTTTTCTGTGGTGAAGATACACTCAGCTCACATTTCATACTGATCTCTAAACTTGTTAAGTAAAATAATGCTTTCTCTTGCATCTTCTTTCCAGAAACTTATATTGAGCAACAGCTATGGGTGAGGTGTTATGTTGGATAATACAAACATGTTGGAGAATGAGTTCCTGCCTTAGGTTTGGTCGGAAAGGCAGACGTCAAGGAAGTGATTACACCAATATTTGATTGCAACTGGGAGGTGCTAACCTAGTCTGAGGCATCACAGAAGGTTTCTTAGAGAGAGTAACATCTAGGTTCATAAAACAACAAAACTACTAAAATGAAATTAAGTTTCAATTCTGTTGTCAACATAATCTTAATGTGCAGATTTTCAGAGTATAGCTCAAACAAAACTCTTCGAAAATAATCTGGTACTTGTAGAGGATAAAGCATTTTGTGTTCCTCTAGCTCAACTTTATGGAAATAGATCCAGCACTAAAAATAAATGGCAACAATGACTTTTCAGGGAAACCAGAACTCTATGTCCCTAATAAGGATTCATATGCAATTTATGGATGTGAAGAAAACATAATTGAATCAATCAGTCAATGAGTTACAGTGACAAGGCCATTAAGCCGTGCACTTTGGAGGAGACCATAGTGGCACCTCACAAATACATCACACAAATTTATACTAAATATAGTTTTCATACAACTCTACTTATAGAGTGCACATAACATTAATTTATGACTCATACATTTTTATAAATTACATTTCGACAAATATTTTATTTATAATGCATTTTGAACACTAAAATTTTGCTCAACTACAGAGAGTTCAGCAATAGTTTATCATTTACACTGTTGAGAGCTAGAGCTTGAGTACAGAAAACAGGCAAAAACATTACACATTTTTTGTCAACTTGCTTCTAATGGTCATAAGAAAATTAATGCATTTGCACCATAGTTTTCATAAAGAGACACAATGTCATCACAAAAGGTTTTAGTTTGAGGAAAGGTTTTTATGATAAGCTATTATTTACATGGGTATGAATAACAAAAATTGAAATCAAGCAATGATGTATGGAATGAATTATTTTTCATTTTTTATTACATTTTCCCACATATCCTATTTTATTTCACATGAGATCAGGTGATAGAAGAGGCATGCCTCTTCTCTAGTCCTATTGTTTCATTTTGAGGATGGAGTTGCACTGATATTGCAGATTATTTTTCTGATTGGAAATTGGGGAAAATAACTGGGGATTCTTGGCCCGTTTTTTATCTTAGAAACTAGAGAACACAAGTGCTTTGTTGTTTTTTCACGCAATGAGTCTTGGCCAGGCAGCTCTCCCCATTCCCTGTCATATTGGGAGGCCCACCCTCATTCAGAATCACCTGCATCTGCAAGGGTAAGCCCACCCAATTTGAGGTTTCACTTAGCAGATTTGTTTAGCTTTCGCACTAAATTAAATACTCCCAACATTACCTTTACATGTAACACTGGTGATGATGATTAGGATGATCTGCCATTCCTGAGTTTTATTTATTTATCAGTTTTATAACCCCAAGTGGGTAAATCAGTTGCCTTTTCAGGAACCCTTACTGCAATATTTATTGAATATTTACTATATACCAACCATGTAGTAAAGATTTGACATTTGTTATTTAATCATGAAAACCCTACAAAGTAATTACTAGAATTATGATTAATATTAGCAATGTTTATGCTTACCAATGAAATGTAAAATCAGCTTAGCACAGTGTTTTGTACATAGGATATGCTCAATAAATACTTGTTGCATTTACCAATGGCTATGACAACATAATTAGCAATTATTCATTCCTCCTGTTTTACCCAACACTCAGGAAGCTCACAATCTTACAGGTCCTGCGGTTAACTAAGCTAAGACTTGTTCTTATTTATCCTCTTAATCTCACCAGCTAGAGAAAGGCTTTCATGAGAGTAAATGTTTTATAAGCATGTGTTGAATTTATATTTAACAGCAGAAAACATACCAGTTTGTCAATAGTGAAAAGATTTATGTTAGCATTAAATTCTAAGTGAAACCACATCAATGGATCCCTCCAGAATGGACATCACTGACAAAATACAGAATTTCAAACAGTGGTATTGATAGATGATGACAAATTAACTTAAAAATTTTTTAATACTTAATTGTAATAAAAACTGAAGACAATATAAAATCAGAATTCAATAAAGGTAGCCATGCCAGGTGCTATTTTCAGTATTTAACTTGACACAGGAATAGAACTTGAAAAACACCCTAGAGTGAATTGTTGAAATTCCATTTATTCTTTACATCAGTCATTCTACAACTATTCAGAGAACAAAAGAGAAGGGTATAGAATTTATAATCTAACATTATGAGACTGACACATAAACAGGTAATCATAATAATGTGATGAGGACTATCAGAGGGGAATTTGAGAGTGTGATAAACCACATTACCCTAGGCTTGGAATGCTGAGGAAGGCTTCTGGGAAGAAGTGACAAGTAACCTAAAATGACACAGAATGAGTAGGAGCAACCCAAGAGGACAGGAGAGGGAAAACTGTGAGGTAGAGGGAACTAAAATATGCCAAAAGCTCAGAGTTAAGAAAGTTTATGGTATGTCTAGGGAGCTAAAAGAAAGTTAAAATGTGTGAAGTGTAGTAGGCAAGGAACTTAGAACAAGATTATAAAGGGCCACCCTAAGCAGTTTCAACTTTGTCCTAAAGATAATAGGAAGCCTTGCAAGATTTTATGCCTGGAATATCATAATACCTTTGCATTTTTGCATAATCATTTCAACTTCAGAATGTCACCATTACTTATAGAATGGAAACCGTTGTCAAGATGTGAAGCAGGGGGAACCGTTAGTTAGAAAACTGGTCCAAGGAATATAGATGATGGTAGCTTGAACTTGGGTAGTGATATATAGGCTAAGAGAGTTAGAATCATTTGAGATCAACTTAACATTCAAAGTAACAAGGCTTACTGAATATTTGCTTGGGGAAGGTGAGAGAGAGGGTGATACCAATAACGACATCCAGGGGTTTGAGGAGTAACACCTGGGTAGATGGTAGTAGAACCTACTACCAGCAGAAACAAAGGAGGCATTGGTGCTGGGGGAATATGACAGCTGAAGTTTTGGACATGTCCACAGAACATTCAAATGAAAATGTTTGTAGGAGTAGTAAAGGAAAGTAGTAGTAATATTTTTCACTTACACTCAATCCTTCTTTTGGTAAGAAGTGGATAATAGTTATTTCAAACCATAGTTCAGTCTAATGCAGTTAGGACTAGTTGTGCTATTTATTGAAGCACGATTCATATACTTTTAACACAAGGCAGCAACAGGAGTTGAAATTCTGCTATGGCAATTACTGAGCTTGAAATGTGCTCCTTCCTAGACTCAAGTCCTTAGCACAATATTTCTCCCCAAAGAACCATTTGTATTTCAAGTCCTGGGAGTAGTATAATGTCAGAAACCTAAGATTCTGTGAAAAGAAGAATGGAAGAAGGAGACCAATATTGATCACTTTGACTGAATAGCATGTCTCATGTTGTATAAAAAGAGGAGTCATTTTAAGTTACTGACACTGACTTTTGAAGATTTTAGTACTTCCTCATTCAGATTTAAAAAATAAAAAATAATAAAACCTTCTTCCCCAGCAATACCAAAGGAATGACAGCAAGGTTTGTTTAAAGATTAATTCCAAAGCCCACGAAATGTCCATTGAGGGATTATTTCAAAAATAATGGGGTACTTTCTCTTGCTCAGATAACCTCCTAATTTTTAAAATGTATGCATAAGTCATTTGATATTCATTTTCACATAAAATTTACAAATATAATATCAGAACAAAAAAGATATATTATTAGGTTTCAGACTTTGCTCAAATGATTTATGTAAAACAGTATTAATAAAATACTCATTAGTTAAATACCTGATATCTAATGGTAGAAAATAACCATTAGCACTTTGAGGTTACATTTTGAATTAAATATGGTTTTGTTTGATATCGCTCACACTGACCTTTTAAGTGTCTCATTTTGTGTCTCATGGTGTTTAGATCAGCCAAAATTCTGTCCTTTTTTAGCCAGTTCTGTTTCTATAATTTTTTTGCTTTCTGCAAAACTAGAATAATAAAAATATAAAACATTTTATCAACAATAATTTATCATGCACACCAATAATTTATAAAGAACTTTCTGCTCGAAGAAATAGATTCAATTAGAAACAAGTAATTAAAAGGTAAGGGTCATTAAAAGAAACCTCATTTGAAAGATGACAGGGCTTAAGGCGTTTCTTTATGGAATGGAGGGGTAAAAAAAGAAAAAGAACAATGCTGTTTTATTATATAGATTTACCATATGCAATAGCCATATTTCATTTTCCACTTCCACAAACTATTTGGAGGTGATGAAAGCCTGGCTTGGAACCATTCATTTTTTAAACATCCACCTACTGCCTAAAGGGTGCAATTCTTAAAAATGAAAATGTGCAGACAGGTCGTCCTCAGTGTGAATTAAACTCATTTGTTATTTTCTAATGTATACCATTATTCTCAGTCTTATAGACCAAGGATCTCTTTATCAAGTAAATTAGACATTTTTCCACACAGAATACTCCATTTTAGTATGAAAAAAACAGGCAAATGTGCAAATATGAAAGCATTGCTATCCTTGTGCACATATTAATTGATGAGCCTTCTGTTTTTGTATAAACATGATGTTATTATGTTGATATTATACACATTTAATTCATTTTCTTATGATGGCATAAAATGTATTTCTCTCTTCCTTCATACACTTGCTTGAAAAAAAGTAAAAACCAAACACTTAGCATTTGGAGGTAGAAATGGTTCACCACAAGATACCCAGATGGCAATAGGATTTCTGAGGATGTGGGTAAGCAAAGACTTATCTATATCATCCAAACTATCAGACATCACAGATTTTGGAAATAATCTGTTTTTCACTTTCATTCCTGGGTTTTCTGGTGGAAAAAATGACACATTTATCATTGTTCAATAAACAATGAATAAATTTGCTTTCTGAATTTGTTTATTCAAAATATTTTTTATTCATTAGTAACTTGACTTAAACAGGCAATGCCAGAACTGGAGGCTGATGTACAAATTTAGTCAGAAACTTCATATACAACCAAAAAAATTAACTAATAAGTACCTATGCAACAATCTTACATGTTCTTCACATGTACCCCAAAACCTAAACTGCAATTTAAAGAAAAGAAAAATAAAAGATTGTAAATATATGTTTTAATTTCTTTCTTACACATAATCTTGTTCTGAAAAAAATTTGAGGTGGCTTACCAAAATACCTACTCCGAAATGGAAAAAACAGAGATAAGAAAATGAAGTACAGGGAGAAAGGTATATGGGAATAGACTAAAGCCAGGAATAAGTTACCTCAGTGTTCTTATATTTTAAATGAATATTAATATCTCATTCTGCTGTTTCTTTTTTTAGAAGAAAAAACTAACATGCTTAGAAGAAATAGTGTTTGGCCTATTTACTCTGATGACCATCCAATAAATGTTAGGTATTATTTTTATTGTTAAACAGATACAAATACCACCCTGTTTTGACTTGCTAGAGATAAAGCAAACTTTGGGCTCTGAGCTTCCTAATGGACAAAGCAAGGAGAAAAACACAATTTCCAGTTTCATATCGCCCACATAGAGTGAGAAATTTTTTAGAAAATTTACTTTTCCTGGTTCGTAGATCCGAGGAAAATTCATTTAAAGGTCCACTTAAAGAGGTTATTCGTGATATCCTACACAATATCCTACAATAGAATACTAATATATATTGAGAATTTACTGTATACTTGGTATTTTACTAAGGTCTATACACACATGGTCTCATGTGATTCTCAAAATGATACTCTGAGACTCTGAGTTAGGCCTTATTATCAGTCCTCTTTTACAAATATGGTAACTGAGCTTTAGTGACATAGCTGGGTGGTGGCAGAGCCAGGATTAGAATCCAGGCCATCTGCCAATGAAGCCTGTGCTCTTAACCACTCCCTGCATACTAAGCACTATGTTGAATTCTGACCAACAGCTGTTTCTTTAAAGTTCCTTAATGCAAACTGATGGCATAACACCAAGCCACAATTCCATAAAGGGGGCAGCCTACTGATGGCCTTGCCTAATTTAAGAATACCCTTTAGAATATAAGAAGGAAGAGATGGAATCAAAAGGAGGCTGGGAAAAGGTTATAGGACTATACCCCTTTGATAGTCCTACATGAATAACATTACTCTAACCAGGCTTTAAATAAGATTTTAAAGAAGAGTGTTTGAAGTTATAATTTTATAAAACCTAAGTTCAGATATTCTATATGTCAAATAAAGACAGAAATATGCTTCAGCAATCAGCTATGCATTACATGTTCACATAAATATTTCTTAAAATTCATTTGAAGACAAAATAAGTAGTGTCCTATATACAAACATGGTAAGTAATTTCACTGAATGTTTAGTAAGTATCAGCCAGGCACTGTTCTAAGTTATATGTGTGCATATATGTGTGTATATATAAATATAAATACATACACACACACATATATATATTCTTATGAGTATACATTCACACTTATGAGGATGGAATGAATATATTCATGATGACCAGATAAATACAAATACTGAAAATATAGATCTATTTGTGAAACATAGTTATATTTGCTATGGTTTGAATGTGTCATCTCCAAAACTATGGTGTTAAAACTTAATGGCCAATGTAATGATATTAAGGGAGACAGAAACTTTAAGAGGTGATTAGATCATAAGGGCTCCTCTTCTTTGGAAAGGAATTAAGGCCCTTATGAAAGAGACTTCATACAGTGCTGGGCTCTTTTGCCCTTTCTGCTTTCCATTGCGTGAGGACAAAGTATTCTTCCCCTATAGAGAATGTAACCCTCACCAGACAACCAGATCTACCGTTGTCCTGCTCTTGGACTTCCCAGCCTCCAGAATTGTGAGAAACAAATTTTTCTTCTTTATAAATTAACCAGTCTGTGGTATTCTGTTACAGCAACACTAATGGACTAAGACAGTGTTATATACATAATGGAGACATATTATGTATACACATGTATACACATATGTATACACACATGTATATACATATATATACACATATGTATATACATCTTATGTGTATACATATGTGTGTATACATATGTGTATACATGTGTATACACATATGTATATACATACACATGTATATACAGAGACAGGGGAGGGGAGTTGAAGGACAGTAGAAGCATAGAGAGGACACCTTCTGTTCTAATAGTAGCAAGAGATTTCCATTGATCCAGCCCCAATTTCTTAAGTGGTCTCCAGTTGGTTTTGGTTCTGAGTAAGAACAAAATATGATTATGTTTCATAAAGCAGCTTAATTGTCAAACATATTTTATTAATTCTAGGCAATTAATTTATTGTTTCAGTGCCAAAAATCAAAATTTGCGTGAATTTTTAATTTTTCTTATAATTCTGCAAGGTAAAAACAACATGACAATTTCAGTGACACTCTTGGAGTCACAAAAGTAGCTTCCTATGATTTTGAAATTCTGAAAAAAGTGACTAAATGAAATAATCATGTTTAACATTTTCATGATCAAGCATAAATAGAATCAGCTAAATGCTGCATAATGTAGCCAACCTTCCATACTTTTAACCATTATCTGTTCTTTTCCAACAGAAGCCACGTCTTGCTTTTGTTTCTTGGAGTCTCTCTGGAGAAAGGATTCATCTAGAGCCCATAAAACCAAATCACGCAAGGTAAAGATTGGGGTTCCATCTTTGGTATATAGTTTGGAGGCTGCTCTGGAAAGCCCAAGTTGCTCCGTGCATTCTGTAAGAAGCTAGATAACACAGGCAGTAAGAAACTCACAGGCAAAGGTGATAGAATTGGGAATAATCATTTAGAGCTTGTCATTCTAAAAGTCTGAAGAAAATCATTGAATTTGGGAAAACAGAAAGCTGAATTACTACTGATCTTGATCTTTGATTAGAGTGCTTTTTATATTAGACTGTCCTACTAGGTATTATTCAGTCCCAGTAGATTGAATATCACAACATAGTTCAATCCAGCTGTAAATTTCCTAGCTCCAAAAATTTAACATGGCAGCTGACATATATTAATACATTTTAGCATCAGACTATTTTCTAAGAGATGTTCAACTTAAAAATCCACTTTCAATTTTGTTGCTTTATAAGGTATGTAATTGTTGTAACTTTATACTGATAACTTGCTTTAAAATAAGTAGTTAACCTTCAAACCAAGAACTGACAGGTATTTTTACCTTCCTTTTACAGATGGAAAAAGAGGATAAAAGATTAAATTTTTTGACCAAAGGAAAGCTAACTGTGGATCCCTGGGTGAATCTTGGAGTCACTAACATCTGTACTTTGCTTAGTCTATTGAACAACAATACCTAATTTTTAAAACATTATTCTCAACCAAAAAGGTGAGGGAATAGATATGGATGCTTGCAAGAAAGTCTGCAGGGTAACTCCATATCATGTCACACATCACTTGTAAAATACATTGTTAAAGGCACTGGCCAGAATGAATAGACAAGATAATCACTAAGTGGAGCAAGGACAAAGCTGGGTTTGGGTATTCTGGGTTCTGCTCTCTTCCCATGACTATGGGGAGCAACTTGAAAGGTAGACCATTTAGTTCCTCCTAATACAACCCCTGCTTCCCCAATTTGAAAATGAAATGAAACATCCTATCAACAAATAAATGCCGAGATGTTCCAGATGATGAATGCAATGTGCCCAAAAATGCAATGCATGGCATCTCTTGGATGATCCAGATGACATGCAACTTGAAGCTGGCATGAGAAACAAGAAAGAAAAAGGCATTCCGTCCATCACAAGAAGGAAGAAAATCAAGTACCTTTGTTTTCCTCTCCCCTGTAGATCTCTGCTCAGGAGTCAATCTAAAAACTGTATTCTCATTTCTAATTTTTTTAAGTCTGTATCCACAGACATACAATCAAATAAATGTCTTTAAGTAAACAGAGATCTTGATCTCATCAGTTTAAATTAGTGAATCTGGCCAGGGATATTTATCACTCAATCTCACTGCTTTTTCTTGTCAGAAGAATTGCCATTATCATTACCTCGGAAGATGCAAGCAGCATTTAAGTGATAGCCACTTACCATGGGGAATGCTCCAGCCACAATTAACTTCCCATTATGATATCCATCCCCATTTTTGTACGCAATTATTTTCACTGCCTTCTGGTGCGTGGCTGCTATGCCACTGTGAGATGCAGCTTGTGTGCAGGTCTTCATCTGTAAAGACAATAGACGTGCTTGGTAATAACTTAGAGTTTTTTCAGCCTCGTCACACGATAAATCAACCTAATTTATTTTTTAAAATAAATTGAACATTTACTCAAACTTTCTTGTTTTAGTTTTCTATACTTCAGTCTCTTAATTTAATAAATGTGTGTATACATGTATAATGTCTAAATTTTTTAATGCTCTCTTCATGTGTTATATATATTGAATACTAGAGTTGGAAGGATTTTGGATCCAAATTCCTCAGTTCCCTCTCAGACCTGTCACTGAGTCACTAGGTGATTCTGGGCATCTGGCTTGTGTTTCTGGCATTGTCTTGTTTTTGTTTGTTTGTTTGTGTTTTGCTTTTTCTCTGCCATGGCCAGAGGGAGCCTGAATTAAATTAATAATACACTAACATTATAGATAGCCTCTAAATTTTTAACTTTAGAATGATTCCACCATATGGTGGAAGATGTTTATGAATGAGGAGGGGAATGAGTGTAGCTCTAGCCAGTTGGTAGTAAGGGTGGTGAACACTCTTCTGCTTTCCCTTTTCATCCCAACCTAGGATGCTGCCCTGAGGGCAAATCTCTGTCTGAAATTCTGTAGCATTGGGGATTCTTTCTTACCAACTCCTCACCATCTCCTTAAAATTATTCCACTATCTTCAAAGCAAACCAGACGCCTTCAGGTTTCCCAGTTGACTGACTTCCTTTCTCCTTCAAAGCTATTGCTTCTGTTGATGTTTCTTGTAACCCCAACATGTATCAGGATTAGGGAAGGGAGGAGGGTGATCTGGAGATGGGATGAGCAAGCCCTGAAAAGCACACCAGGCTGGAAGATATTCCCCCTTTTAGGAATCGCTTCTTTTTTCTTTTCAGGTGTGGAAGTTCCCTTAGTTATTTTTACTTGTAAAGTTGAAAGGGAGGGTTCTTTTTTTAACGGTACCATTTTAAACTAAGGTTACAGGAAAGTGGTAGAGTTTTTTCCCCCTCCATGAGCTCTAAATACTATTAGACATGGATGTGTGGATTCAGGCACCCAACCTGAACAGTCACTAACAACAACACATCTAATTCCCCCTGAAATGTTCCATACTAGTAAAAAGAAGTTTTTTCCTGTAGATATAGGCAAAAAGCTATTCCATGAAGTAAAGATTTGCAGTGACTTCCTCACCTAAAAGCAGCAATGAGAACAGTGAAATGTGTCAGTAAATGATTAAAGCTGCAGAAGTGCCCAATTAACTTCAAAGAGTGTATTGAACTATTAATAGACAATGCATTTTAAATTACAATGAGGAAGAGGAAATCAATGCAGGTAGAACGGTAAAGGTGCATCTGAGGAAGATGAATTGGATAAGTGGAAATGAACTTGAGTGCAAGGCAGATAATGAATGCATCAAAGTTTCCAAATTGTTGCCATACGTGCATTAGCAGAGCTCAGATCATTACATACCTCAGCCACATTGATGGCCTTGAACGGCCCTTGTAAGGAGGGCTTTTGGGTCTTGGAGCCTGAAACACAGAGGAATGTAACCCCTGGAAGCAATTTTTTCAGTCCCTTCTCTGTTCTCATGGATTGTCCACAAGCCAAACAGAGCATCGTTTTTCTCTTTCCATCGGGTGAGAGATAATAGTATCCCTAAAATGGGAGACAGAGATACCTTTATATATAAGCATCTAAATTGTTATAGCATTGCTGTAGAACATTTTTCAAAATAAATACAGCACTTTTAACATTCCAAAATGCCAAATTTAAAATCCCAACATAAAGGCATTATTTTGTTCCCATATGTGTGTGTGTGTGTGTGTGTATACATATATATGCATGTATGTATGTATGTATGTATTTTTTAAAGTATTTCCAAATTCTGTAATGACAATTCAAACCAATGAATATAAACTGTGTGCAAAATCAGTTTCTTGGAGGAATGGCCAGCTCCAGATTTGGGGCAAGAAATACACAAGACAAGCAAGGGATATCTTGTGCCCTGAAAGAAGAAAAGCCATCATCATGTTCAAAAGACATGGAAGCCAGGAGCCTCTGCTGCCCCAAAATGGGATAATATGGAGCAACCAAAAGAATGATAACTAAAACATTTTTAAAATATTTATAATATCCTATGAGTGTATAATGATGCTAACAATATAAGTAAAAACAAATAAAATCCAAGCAAATAAAAATCAGGAAGTAGAATCTCTTTCTCCTTTACTTCTTTCCTTGAATCTGGGAAGGGCCATGAGACTTGATTTAGCCAACATAGCACTAGCAAATGTGATGCAAGCAGATGTATAAGAAGTGCTTTCACAATGGAGCTTGTTCTCTTTTGGCTGCCATTGAAACCCTGAGACCACAATGTGAACCAACCTGAGGTAACCTGCTGGAGAAGACATGTAGTTGAAGAACCAATGTTCCCAGCTAACAGCCTGCCAACCACCAGACAGGTGAGGGATGCCATCTTTGACCATGTAGTCCCCATAAAAACACCCAACTACTAAAGAACCTACAGATGACTGTAGCCATGTTAGTGACCTGGGACAAGACCAGCAGAACTGCCCAGCTGACTGCAGCTCAAATTGCTGGCCCACAAAGCAAAAAATGAGTTTTTTGTTTAAGCCACTAAATTTTCAGGGGTTTTGTTACACTGCCACAGATAAGTGAAATCAATAGAAAGACTTAGGCATTCATCCTACATTCCCTTACAAACCATATTTTTGAGTAGTCAAATATTGAATTAATGAGGTAAAGTTCTTCCTTCTATTAAAAGTTTAGTTGATCAATGTAGGAAAATATGATAGAGTTAGACAAGATTGACCCTTTTGAAACAAGAGGGCAATGTTAAATGAAATGTCATTGGGGAATTGTTAAACATGAAATCAGGCTGTAAACACCTGAACCTACTCAAAACTATCAGGACTGAAAATGGAAAACCCACACATTGCTTGTGTGAGTGATAAATAGGAAACATGTAGGAAAACCTATGAAGATTCTAGCCAAAAACATAAATATAAATCTAATTACAACTATAGGACTCAATTCCATTTACAGAAATTATGGGCGTGGGGAAACAAGTCAAAAGATTCCACAAAGAAGAAAGTAAACAAATTCAATTAGGGGGCATTCAGTATGACAATGGAGCCAGACCGTGGGGCTGAGTGTCATATGACACCTTATTTGAATCTTGACACCAACCAACAAACCATAAAAAAAAATTTAGGGCAACCTGGGAAATTTGATTAAGGAAAGGGTATTAGATGGCCAAAGAATTCTTGTTAATCTTACTAGCTGTGGGAATGGCATGATGATTGTGCCAAAAAATGTCCAAAATTTTTGGAAGTATGTGTCTAATATGGAGGTTAAATAATATAATGTCTGGGGTTGGCCAACATGGCAAAATCTAGATAATAGTTAAATATGAATGACGGTAAATGAAGATTTATTGTCCTAGTTTCTCTACTTTGGAATATGTATGAAAATTTTTAGCTGGGCGCCGTGGCTCAAGCCTGTAATCCCAGAACTTTGGGAGGCTGAGGCGGGTGGATCACAACGTCAACAGATCGAGACCATCCTGCTCAACATGGTGAAACCCCGTCTCTACTAAAAATACAAAAAAATTAGCTGGGCACGGTGGCACGGGCCTGTAATCCCAGCTACTCAGGAGGCTGAGGCAGGAGAATTGCCTGAACCCAGAAGGCGGAGGTTGCGGTGAGCCGAGATCGTGCCATTGCACTCCAGCCTGGGTAACAAGAGCGAAATTCTGTCTCAAAAAGAAAAAAAATTTTTCATAATAAAAATTTTAAGAATGTTAGATTAATATAAACTACATAATTTTTTTCACAACTTTCCTTCATTCTTTCCTACCAGAATCAGAGTCTGAGTGATTTCACTCAAAAATCAGCATTCAACTTACACGAACATAAAGTCTTCTAGGGAAAAAAAAAATTTTCATTTTATTAAATTACTCTTTTACCCTATTTTTATCTTTGAGAGGAAGACACCACTTACTGGTTGATCAATGCTTTCTTCTTTAATTACAGATGATGTACAAACACCAGCATAATTTGCTGATGTGATTTCCTTATCCAAGGCAGTGCTATGAAAGGCCCCAAGTGCTTTTATATTTTTCATGTAATGCCACTTTTGATTGGCAGCTCCATTGTTGTATGGCTTGTATTTCTGAAAAAAGAGGCAAAATATGGAGTCAAGTGAGTTCATGAGAGGGTTATAGTACCTTGTTGTTCATTGCATAAATCCAGAAAGTGCAGCTAATTACTCACAATCACACCGTGCAGTGACGACTACTACTCTTGAAATTTTAGTGGTTAGATTCGGAATCTTCTTTATATTTATAAATATGCATTCTTTGATTTACAAAAATAGAATAATAAAATGCATATAATTTGGTAACTGCAGGTTTTTTTCTTAACAATATTCCCTGAACCTTTTTCTAACATCTTGTAAAAATACATATCATTTCATTTTACGGATATTTTACTAATCTTCAATAGTTAAACATATAGGTTCTTTCTCAAAATTTATTTAAAATAAACAAATAGTGTAAATAAATATTTGGGTAAATCCATGATAATTTTTTAGGATAAATTTCTAGAAGTAGAGTTGCTGATAAAAAAATCATTTTAAAGATTATCATATACCAAAATGCTTTCTAGAGAGATTATTTTACCTTGCACTTCTACCAATAGTAAACTAAATGACCCATTTTTCTTACATTCTTGACAAAAAATGGGCAATACTTCCAAAACACAGATATAATAAATTTAAAAATAGTACCTTGTTAATATTTTAATTTATATTTCACTGATTATCAAAGAGGTTTATCTTTTGAGTACATTCAGTTAAATACATAATAAAAAACGATATATTTATTTTAATTATGATAGTTGGCTCAAGTACAAATAAAGAAATAGTTTCACTTTAACAGAACTTAAACCCATAGATCAGTTCTAACTAAATATATCATAACACCTCAAGCAACTTTTATAATTAATAACATCTACTTTACCAAGTGAGAGCTTAATAGAAAAGAAGAAAATAAATGAGTCCCAAGAATTGATTTAATGGGTCAGACAATAAAACTTCCCCTCAGAGGTCTGGAAAACCAAAGACTATATTTTCAAGGGACAGAAAAGGGTCTAGTAGCATTAACCCACCATGCTTCATTTTTATTATTTTACATGAACTTTAATATTTTCTCACAAACCAGTTGTTTCAATAAATACAACACCAGCAACAAAAAAATTCCGGAAAGGTTGAAATTACCTTGGGGTCAAATTATTTCTTATGAAATGGTAACCCTGGTAGAAATCATCCATATCTATAATTTAATGAAAACTATTAAGGTACTAAAATTTTATGTGTGTGAGGTTGTATCTCACTGTGGTCTGTACTGAAGAGGCACCTGACAGAGAAGAACATAATGTTGTATGTACTCTATCTTCTGGAATAATTTCTTAGTCCATAGTTATCATCAGGATAGAAGACTTAATTAAGCTTTGGTATTTGTCCAGATTGCTGTCTCAATTTTGGATTCAGGGCCTGCAAAACAAGTTGCCTCATTGCTATTAAAAAAATAGAATGAAACAAATGTTATTTGGAGGCAATCTATTCTGTTCAACAAGAGGATGGAAAATACTGTTGAGGACACAGAAAGTTAATACAAAGCAGGAATGCTTCTATATTTTCTCTCTTACCAGCAAGGAAAAGTACATATTTGTTTAGGAGTGTTGGTTATAAGCATGTGAAAATGACAGAAAAATGTGAAAAAAAAAAAAAGATCTTCCTAGTTCTTTGTCCAAAACTCAAATGAAGCCAGACTTCTCTGGAGTCTTCCAAAATGTCTGGCTGCTAAAAGCATTTGCAACAGTGAATGAAAAGAGAATTTCAAACGGGTCGTTTAGTAGAATTAACACTGATGATCTTGCAACCTTCGGGAAGACCTCCCTGACTAGGTTCTTTCCCTCCAGTTGCCAAGGCCTTTGAGAAATTGAGGCCTTGCATATGTTCCTGACAATCAAATTTAGGTGCACCTAACAGCCATCCACCTGCCTGTAGCCACCATTGAGACCATAGGCTTCGTGAATGTTGTTGGGACAAGTTCTCATGCTTGCCATTGGGTTTGATCTCAGTAACTAGCATAGTTTCTGACATGAAGCAAGCCCACAATCACCATCTGTTGGATTAAACTAAATTAAGATGTACATGGACATGTTCAATTTAAAATCTAGGCAGAATATCATAAATATTTTAACAACAACATTCAAGTAGAATTCTATGACAGTTTTTTTTTTCTCCACTATAAGGAAGCATAAAGCTTTACTTAAATTTAATTAAAAGTCCATGACTAACCTTTAGCCATACATCTTACCTGGACAATAACTGGATAGCCATAAACTTCATTTGTAGTCTTGGTCACAGACACTGCCAGCACAAGGTCAGGGTTACTCACCAGGTGAAAAGTCCTTGGGAAAACAGGATTAATCACATTACAAAGTAGCATGACTAGATTAGATCACCCTCTGTGCCACTTAGCAGTGTGTTGCCTCTCAGCTCCATGCATGCCCTGTAATAACGAATGTGAATCCTTTAAGAATTTCTTCCTTGCGGTAAGTGTGATGTTAAGCTCTCAGTGGAGAGTGCTGCAAGAAGACTGCAGGATGAAGAGGCTCTCTTGCTCTTTCTGGCTGTGACATGGGGTCAGTGGTTGGGAGTGAGAATATCCAATGATGCTCTGCTCCAGCCAGGTGCCCAGGACACAGGTCTCCCTGCACCTTCACAGCCTGGGCTTGCCTATTGCTCCTTCGCCCTCCTGACATGGACAGCACATGCTTCAGGCCTCCTAGGTGTACCAGCACCCCATTCCCTCTGCATGCCGGTGTATCCACTGCATCCCCCTATATGTTCCAGAGGATTACATCCTGCTCACCCAGTGTTATTGTTTGAATGCCCCTCCAAAACTCATTTTGAAACTTAATTCCCAATGTGGCAGTATTAACAAGTGGAGTCTTTAAGAGGTGATTGGATCCAGGGGGCTCTGCCTAGATTAATTCATTCACAGATGAAAGGTTTAATGGATTAATGGGTCATAATGGGAATGAAACTAGTGGTTTTATAAGAAAAGGTATGTGACATGATGTTCTGTGCTGTATGACGTCCTGTGCTGTATGATGACGTGCGCCATCTCGGACTCTAGAGAGTCCCCAGCAGCAAAACAACTCTCACCAGATGCAACCCTCAACAGAACTTTCCAACCTCTAGGACTGTAGGAAATAAATTTCATTTCTTGTAAATTACCCAGTTTCAGGTATTCTTTTTTTTGTTTGTTTTTTTTGAGACAGAGTCTTGCTCTGTCACCCAGGCTGGAGTGCATGATCTCAACTCACTGCAACCTCTACCTCTCAGGCTCAAGTGATTCTTCTGCCTCAGCCTCTTGAGTAGCTAAGACTACAGGCATGTGCCACCACGCCTGGCAAAGTTTTTGATTTTTAGTAGATACTGGGTTTCACCATGTTGGCCAGGGAGGTCTCAAATTCCTGACCTCAGGTGATCCTCCCACTTTCACCTCCCAAAGTGGTGGGATTACAGGTGTGAATCATTGTGCCCAGCCCAGTTTCAGGTATTCTCTTATAAGTAACATAAAATAGACTAGACACCCAGCCACCACAGACAAGTTCTGGCCAGGCAAACAAGCAAAATTTCTCTGCCATTCAGTGGAATGGAGCCATACATTTTCTAATGAGTCCTGAACCCCAGCATTGGGGAGGGGACCCCACTGCAAGTTTATCCTTTCTTAGGCAATCTCCCTCAGCCCTAGGGTGATATATATTATATACATATGTAATGCACATGAGTATATTTCGCCAAATTCACTGCCTGGGTACAATATGGAGGGTAAAAAGACTGTGGTTAACATAAATGGAATTTTCTACTGAGTTCTACTACATAGTGTAACCCATGGTTCTCTAGGTTTCACCAACTTATCAAAACAAATGGGTTTTAAAAGCCACCCATTTATATGAAAGGTAACAAAGCAATATATTAAGGGAAACTGCAGTAAAGCTCAGAACTACTGCCACTGTGCAAACACATTTCTGCCATGGGATGTATATTGTTCTGAATCATGCTCACACCTAATCAACAAGACTTCTGCAAAACCTCTCTTGTCCAAGTCTATCTGGGTGTCCGTAGAGCGTGACTTGCACTCATGAGCAAATCCTGTCCCACTGGGCCCCCTGATGCTCCACCTTTTCTCTCTGGACTCTGATGTTTCCAATGAGGGACCAACCAATACAACATCTGCCTTCTGCTAACCGACTCTCTTTTCCGTGGCTTGACATGAGGAGCTCCCAAGATGACAAAGGTACAGAATATTCTGCAACGTGGGAGGTCTCTGAAAGAAACAGTCCCCTTTCGTGTTACACATGGTTAGATTTTCTAAGGCAGTGCACACATGACCCAGTATTTCACAGAGTTTTAGGCAAACTTATCTTTTCTGTTTTCCCTTAAAGTCTTCTCCTTCTCCTTCTTTCTCCATTGCAGTCATAATGAAAGGGGGAAACACACACACACACACACACACACACACACACACACACACACTGACAGACACTGAGCAACATTCAGAAGTAGTATTCTCTTCCAGCGACCAAGTATTCCTGGGTCAAACTTGTTATGCATGGCTTTCTCTTGCCATAGGGTCACAGCTCTCATTCCCCATGCATGTCCACTCAAATTCATCAGCCATGCTCAAATTCCACTTTAGGTTTAAGCAGGGACCTCTAGTATAATACAAAAAGCCAAGGCAGTAAGATATATTGCTAAATACAATGTAGAAATGAGGAAACACTGGATGTCAGCTCCATAAGGCTAAAGATTTTTAATCTGTTTTGTTCTTTGTAAAGCAACAGCTCCTAAAACACTGCCCTCAGTAACCCTTGGCAGCTGAATGAATGAATTCTGGTTCCATATGGCAAACTATTCACAGAAACAAAAACCTGCTATCCTACCGCCACATTACAAAGGCAGCTTAGCCCAGGTGAATGGGCCAAAGAAACACTTTCACCAGATCTATCTACACAGTTGGTTTTCCCATCTTTTCTAACACCAGCCCAGCAGGTTTTCCTTGCTGGAGGCTTTGCTCAACTCCATGAGCAGAGTAAGACCAGCTCCTCTCCTGCCCACGCAGGGCCTACCGCTGCTGCCTGCTGAAGCTTGTGCAACCACCCTCAAAACACTGATTCATAAGCCTTTTCATCGCAGACCTTTTGAGAATCCAGGGAAAATCACAGCTCTTCCCCAGAAAAAAATAAATTGCACAGATGCACAAACATACATTTTGTACACTATTTCAAGAGACCAAAGAGGCCCCTGGAGACTCACCATATCACACTAATGGTAGAATTTGAAGCAAACCAATCTAAAAAACAGGGGATTCTTTTCTATTTTTTTAGATTAAAGAGATGTTCAATATGCACCAAAAAGAAAGAGAAGTGTGTAATCAATCAGCATGAACCTAACAGTTATCAATATTCTGCCATTCCTGTTTCATCCATTTCCCTAAACTTTTAAATTTTTATTTATAATAGAATGTCTTACAGCAAATCTAAGATAGCTTTCAATTTTATCCGTAAATGCTACCACATGTATCCAACTTATCAGGACTTTTTTAAACATAACCATTAAACCATTATTGCACCCAAGAAAATTAATAAGGCATCCTTAATGTCGTCAGATAGCCAAGCTATTTTGATTATCTCAAAAATAACTTTTTTACAGTACTGTAGTTGGTTTGAATTTAGATCCAGGACCAGATATCAAATTAGGTTGATATATTTGCTAAGAGAGAAATTAGCTTATACTGTACGAGTGGAAACCACAAATTGGTTATTTCATGAAGGTGGAAGAGAAAGGGAAGGTGTGTATTGAGGGAAGGATGGGGAGTAAGTTAATGAAAAGTATCAAAAAACTTGAAAATTGGGGGCTTTTTAGAATTCTTTCTTTATTATACTTTATGTCCTAAGGTACATGTGTGGAACGTGCAGGTTTGTTACATAGGCATACACATGCCATCTCTTCATTTCATAAAAATAAAATTAATGAGAGTTCAGTCTTGAGCCCAATGGCCAGATGAAACTGTGTACCCAGGAGAGGAGAGCAAACATTCCTTCTCTGAATCTGATTGTGGATAAATTGTATGTAGCTTACCTAGCATTTACATTTGATTTTATTCCCTTCCTCTTCTTGGGCTAGGATAAAGAATTATCAGATAAGTTAAATAGAAGACAGATAACTCTCAAATAGAGTTCTGCTTGCTCTGTGTCATGCTAGACTTATTAGGCTCCTATTCACCTTTTGATATATTAAACCCACTTATGATGGGATTACCTGCTGTCTTCCTTGTGTATCCAGCGCTGATGACTACTATCAGATTTCTTCTCCATCAAAACCACCTCCATGCCTGACCGGGGATTGGGACCGTGAACACCCAAGACTAGTTGAGGGGCAGCATGGCTTATAATCTGCCCATCTCTGTATTCAAACTGCTGATGGCAAACTTGTGCAATTTACTATGCTTTGGTGAACAGCTGAGATAAAAAAAAAAAACCTCCATTGGTGGCAGAAAAACGTCCCATGCACTTGATGTGCTAGAGGTTGTGAGTTCTGTTGGTGAGAGCTCCGCTGTGAACCACGTTAACTTGAAATGATAGACCTTATCATTAGAATGACAGCAATGCTACTAGCACTGCACTCCTAAGCTGACATAAGAAGTATAATTCTGAGCTTATTTTGTAACAGAAATAAATGTTTACCAGGAGAGCATTTGAAAAATTCTTTAGAAAAAAGAAAAGAACTTCAGTTAAAAAGGTAATGTAAAGATGAAAAAGTGAAATTTAAAATTAAGTAAGATAATGCGGGCAGGGGCATGTAGAATCAAAACAGAGAAATGAAGAAATTCTGTTCAAACTATGATTGTTTCTACCCTCTATCTATGGTATCCCTGGAAATGGAACACCATTCTCCAAGTTTTTCACTCATCTCTAATAATTCATAGATTATAAAATAATGATGTACTAATAATTTAAATGACTCTCTTGCTTAAGGATCTTGCAACATTAAGCAGAATTAACCTATTACATATCACAACACACCGTAAATTAAATTAATCTATAAACATCTATTAAGCCCCTATATGTGGATGGCCTAGTGCTAAATGTTGAAGTGTCAGAAACATTTGATTCACATGTTCCAGTAACTGCTATCATGTCAAGTAATTGTCTAAAGATTATGAAATAATACAAAGTACTATATATTCCTGTCATTTCATTGGACATTGACAAAAAAATTAACTAAAAAGGAAGAAACTGCATTTTATTAATTCCTTAAAGACATCAGCGCATCTTAAATGTTTATTCGTAAGTTCACTCACACAGTCATTCAACAAATATACAGGGTGTATGCTAAGTTTTCAGGAGGCAAAAGTGGATAAGAATAATGTTTAAGAGAAAAAAACACACAAATGAGTAAGTTATTATACTACACTGAACAAAATAAATCAAAGGGTAAAGGACCTTCCCACAAAATTTTGTAAATATTTTCATCAAAAACAAGACAAAAATATTCATGTTGATAGAAACAGCAGCTAACAGCAGCAGTGCAAACTCTTAGGAATATATGTGTCCTAAGGTGAGAGAACTAACACGAGACAGAAATCTTTAACAGGAACCCTTTGTAACTTTTTACCTGTATTTCTTCTGTGATTCCACATTTTCAAAGAGCCCTTTTTCCATTTTCTTTGAAAGACTGTCATCCTCATCAAATTCATGCAAAGTTTCCTGCCAGGCATACCTAAGAAGTGTGTCACAAGCCTTCAATCGAAGATGGGCTCTGGCGTGCAAATCTCTATCAAGGTTCAGAAGCAAACACAAGTCTAAGAATTCTGATTTGTGTTCACAGAATTTTTTTCTGAGGTGTAGTCTAAACACATTCTGCAGGATGTTGGTGGATCTATCAATCTTATTTTCATAAGGGTGCCTAATGTTTGAAATTCACATCTTACTAATACATCATTTCGATCTTTTAATATAAGTCTACAAATAAAATCCCCCAAGCACATAATAAACAGCATTCTTCTTTGTCATTCTTCTTTGTCACTCTTCTTTTTACCCAGGAAAAAAATGGGACCACATATTCTATTCCAAAAGATAAAGATTGACTACTCAGTAGTTTGAAAATTCATAATGAACATGTAATAAGACTCCTGTCTACCCCATAATTGGGTCATAATTCTGACTGGAACAGTACAGCCTAGATTACTCAGCTTTGTAGAGTTTACTCATTAGACAAGGTTAAGAAATCTTAACTTTTCCAAGATTTCCCCACAGAGAAATCTAGAGAGAATCAAATAGCATCTGCACATATGCATCAGCTTTTGCTAGATGCTCATATACTAAACAGGGTACATAGTCATCGTTTGAATACTTGAGTCAGCCTTCTGGCTTCTTGTTAAAATGAAGATATAAAGGGAATCAGCAGCCGCCATATAGATCTCTATATATAAAGTTTCAGGCCACTGTTGAGAGCACATTTGCCTTGAATGGGATCATGATATGAGGAATGCTTGACTGAGGAAGAATAAATATACAGGCAAAGCAACAAGCCTATTTCGGCACTCTAAATATGCATACCTGTAAATAAAGTTCTCTGGGACAGACTGATCTCCAAGGTGCTTGTGATAATTTGATGTAACTACAAGCATTATTAAATTACGAAAATCTTCAGGGACAATTCCTGTGCTAGCAGAGCTGACCGTACTCTTTTCAAATGTATTAGAAGTATCGCATGTGGATATGAAACTGGTGGGTAATGACTGCCTCATTCAGAACTGCAGGCAGCACAAGTGGCTTCTCAAGGCAAAACGCTCCCTTTACAGTTAAAAAACAACAGTGCCATCTTGTGTTAAAAATAAAAACCACAGCTTTCTCACCAATTCCATTTCTTTGAGGAAAAGAGAAAAAAAATGTCATTCCTGGTTTTAACAAAGTTAGCAAAATCCAAACAAGATTCTTCACTCAAATCCAGATGTTTAATTTTCTTACTCGGAATTTCTCTATGAGCTCTTGAACTTCCTGGCAAATGAGGTATAGTCAAGTCAGTTTTAGAACATTTTTTAAGCCCAGCTTGCTTTGTTAATTAATTTGTTTATCCATAGAACAAATCTTTCATTAGTTATTCCTTTAATCAATATTTATTGAAAATCTATAAGACGGGTAACTTATCAGTGCTCATGGAGTTACATTCTAGTGGGAAGAAAAGACACAAGTAAATGAATAAACAAGGTAAATGCCATAAGTTGAATAAAATAGGATATTGTGATAGAGATTGACTGGGATTGGGTGAGGTTTACTTTAGCTATGGAGTCAGAGATGGCTTCTCTAAGAGGTGAATTGAGTTATAGAATATGGGAAGAAGCCAGCCACCTGAGAATTTAGAGGGAGAGCATTCCAAGCAGAGAAAAGAACAAATAAAAAGGCTATGAAGCAAGATTATGGTTATCCCATTTGGAGAACAGAAAGACACTGGTGTGACAGGTATGCAGTGAGTGAAGGGATAGTAGTTCTAGATGAGGCTGAAGAGGTAGGCAGGTACCTGTGATTCAGTGAGGAAATGAAAAAGTTTCCCCCACTCTCTATGTTCCAAAAGCCTTTTTTTCCTGCAAAGCACAAAAATGGTAGGCGAGTATCACCAGAATTTCTTCTCCCTTTTTCTTATTGTTTGTGCCAGACAGCTTTATGATTAAAAAAACTCGGGGGGTGGATCAAAAAGGTTACTTCTACATTGATGTTCTTCTAGCTGCTGGCCTTATGGATGTTCCTCCTTAAATCATCCCAATTTTCAAACACGCAAAAACCTCCAAACAAGCTCATTTAAGAAAGTCTAAGAAAATATTACAATGACTTCCTAATATAAGATGATTTCAGATGATTTCAGGATCATGTCATCAGAAATGGTTCAAAGACTAGTGACAGCATGAAAAATAGATAACCCAGTGTATTAAAAAATATTCCAAGTAGCTTAAGGGCTGTCAAATAGAAGACGAATAGGGCATAGTACAGAGAAACACATGAAACCATAAGGTGGAGATGGTCTAAATAATTATTTAGACATTATAATGGCCGGCCTTGAAAACAGCGATCTCTCTGTTAGTAGGAGTCTTCAAGAAGAGGCTTGAACAAAAGAGCCTGTTTGGAATATGCAGGAGATGCCTGCATTGTGCTCTGAGTGAACCCAATCACTTTTACCTCAAGGACTCCAGGCCTTCATGAAATCTCTGATTCAGAACAATGAGGATCTTTGCTCTCAAAAATGTTTCTCTTTTTTCTTTCTGTTTATTTTTTTTCCAAGTGTAGACTAAATTACTCTGAGGCTAGATGATACATTCTTTAGAAGGGGATGTGAAAGTTTGTGGTCAGTTCCCTGACTGTCGAGAAAGGTATCATCTAGGACTAATCATTCTCTTTGAAAGACACCTTCTGGTGCCTTTGTTAGTGTCAGTCATAGGACCAAATGAATCACCCATCAAAACGAGGAAGTTCGGTTCCTAAAATAAAAGTTCACATTCTTACAACTGAAGATAGAAACAGTTCATAACGATGATGTATAAATTATTTTCACAGTTATTACAGTGGTAATTGCCTAGGTATTTTTGGTTTTATAATTTGGAAATACATGCAATCTCTCCTTCATTTATTCGGTAAATGGTGATTAGAACCCATGTGACCGAGTCTTTGCCCTCAACAGTTCCCAGGTTGGTAGAGGGAGGGGTGGGCAAGGGGGAGAGGAACTGACAAGTACATCACCATGTACAATCATTGCTGTAATTGACTTCAATGCTAAAGAGTTATGCTACAGATAGGTAAGGGGCAAGTAAAGGCACTGCAGGTGGAGAGAAATTAATATGTGGCTTGCAGGTCTGCAACAGAACATAAACGAAATATGCAATATGCAGGCAACAACTCTTTGTTGCTGAGCTGGAGGTTGGAATTCATGTGGCAGAAAAAGACATGGGCCATGGGAATGCAAATGAAGGTCAATGACAGGCATAAATGAGGGTCAGAAGGCCTTGGGATTCCAGAAAAGTAAGTTTTTCTCTCTGCAATATGTAGCCATTAAAAAACTATGTGAAAAGGATTGTGCCTTAGAGAGTTGTCTACAGTTTAACTTAAAGGGGCATTGGAAGATGATATGGCGAGAGAAAGCAATCAGAAAGCTATTTCAATGATCTAGAATGATAACTGCATATTTACACGTGTCTAACTTGAACTTGTTAGGGAAGAAGTTTAGTTGACCCTGAAGTTTATAGAAACAAAACTGGATGAATTCCTCAAATAAATGTCTACAATCCTAAAATTCTAGTCTTTTAAAAATAATAGCATTATAATAATATTACAGAAAGTTGATCATTATGATGTTGAACACTGAAGCTGTAGTTGTATCATTTTGCCAGAAAACTAATTAAATACTAGTTCTTCACCTGCCGTCAGTTTCACAAACTTGGCGTGAGTTCCCTGCATGGGCTCTGTGCTGTTATCGGGTTAATGAGCTGAGTTCAAAAAGCAGCCAGGTAGCTTTTTAGGCTACACTGATTACTTACAGAATTTCACTGGAAGCATTTTCTGTTGTTAAAGCATCTTTTTGCACTTGCTTTTCTTCTGGTTCTGTAACTTGCTTCTCATCTCCAAAAACTGCTATAGGTTTATGCACCACAAGCTTGCTTCCAGATACAATGTCACTTTGGACTTCTAAAACAAGAGCTGAGCAGAAGTTCACAAATTGCAAGGACATATTAATTACAATTGCAGAGCATCAGGAATTTGAAAACACACACTAAAATACAAATGCAAAAAAATTCCATCTATTTGATCTATTCACAGGCTACTTATTAAACTCAGTTGAATTTAATTTTAATTTTTGTAGATTCTTTACTCTCAAGATATTCTTAGTCAAAAATGCTAAAAATAGGTCTTTCCAAAAATCAGTTAATTATTCTATATTGTAATTATTCAAATGGGCTACTTTATTTAGATATATGTTTTTAGCTCATTCTCTGGAATCCAAAACTCATCAGTGGATGTCCCAGTCCTAGTGAAAGCCTTGAACAACACATGCAAAGCTTTACTGTACAATGCTCGATGTATATAATAGGGCAGTGTTTTAAATTACACTTTTTTTCCCTCTTTTTCTTTTCTCTATATGGACTTTTGTCCTAGTTCCTGGAGAAACCTTAAGGAAAGGAGAGGATCATGAGGAAATTAGAACTTTTATAAAAGAAAAGCAAAAGTCCAAAAATAGTTTTTGACATTCAAACAGCATACTGCCATCGACCTTGGAAGTCAGGATGATACAGTCATGATCTATAGTTTCTCCAAAAGCCTGTAGCTCCCACTTAGTGTATCAAGGGTTTAATTTCAGGATTGACCTGGAGCAAAACCACCACTTCTGGGCCAGAGGGGATTTGGGGCACAAGACAGAGAAAGCCAGAAAACTGGCATGGGATATCTTGACTGTCTCTACAGGCTTCACTTTGGGTATCTTAGTTAAACCAGGGAAACTGTGAGAATAGTGCCCATTGTTCTGGACACCCTGATAATGTCACCTTTCAAGCTACCCTTGCTACTTTAATCTGAGGCACAGCCAGCCACGTGAACCGGGATCTGGTTTCTGGGAGGTGCCGCTAGGACCCTGGAGTTGCTGAGAATCTTGTTGGGTTGGGGAGACTTCCAGAAATGGATGTCAAGCAGGGGTGAGGTGGCTCTGTAGCAAGGACTGCAGAGATGACCGCTCAGTCATAGCCGGGCTCCAGAGGGCCACAGGAAGCAGAGAGAAGGCTGAGCAAGGGAGGAAGCACACCAGCCCAGAGTACTGTCTGATCCAAAAGAACAAATCACAAGTCACTTCAGCCATAGACTTCAGCCAGCAGAGCCCAGGAAGCAAGAAGATCTGCATCCCAAGTGCTTTCTATCTTAGAGTAGAACTTAAAGTGAGAGTCTGGAGACTGAGAAATCTAAAGCTCTCCCTAAAGGGACTAATTAAATTAATGGATGGAACAAAATGTAAACATGACTGGAGAACACATGAGGCTCACAAAGAAGATCAGATCTGTTAACAGCAAAATAAAATTACGTTTTCTTTGCACATCCAAACAATAGTGTGAACTAAAATACTCGAACATGTCAAACATAGAAGTTAAAGAGTTAAACAGCAAGATGCAGAGGTGAAATATGACCTGTTTAAACAAACTTTGACTTTTTAAAAAGCAGTATCATCAAATATTTCATTTTGGCTGCATATACTAAGGTAAATAATTCCAATGCTTACCTTCTATTTTACGTGTGCTGCAGAAGATTTGAATTTTGGAAAGGTCTGATGCTAGGTTCCTCAGGAAGATTTGTTTCTTTTGCTTAGCAGTGAACAGGTCAGGATTGATCCAATGTTCTCCACATAAAACATACACCTATCAAACAAAGCATCTCTTATCCTGTATATAATTGTCACAGCAGCATTATTTGTAATAATTGAAATGAGGGACAATAAAAAAAAATCTTATTAGTATAATAGGTGAATGATTAAAGAAAACTGTGGTGCCATGGAATACCACTCAGTACTTTCAAAAAATTCAAACTGTTGATAAAGGCAACAAGCTCTGATGAATTTCAAGAGTTTTGTACTAAGTGAAAAACTATCTTTGTATCTTACCATATTATTTCTGCAACATCCTGTGAATCTATAATTATTTCAAAATAAAAGTTTTTAAAAATAATTGCTTAAGAAAAAGGGGGAAGGAAGGAAGAAAAGAGAAAGGAAGGGAGTGAGAGAGGGAAGGAGGTTGAAAGGGAGAAAAGAAGGGAGCAAGGGAAGGAAGGAGGGGGAGAGAGAGTAAGAGATGAAAGAAGGAAGGAAGGAGTAAATAGAGGTTGGCTAAATTAGAGATGGCAAACTATCCCTAAAATGCAAACCTGGCCTGCTGCCTGTGTGAGTAGAGTTTTATTAGAACACAGCCATTCCTTTACATGTTGTCTGTGGCTGCTTTCATGCTTCAGGAACAGAGCTGATGTCCACAAAACCTACAATATCTACTATCTGATCCTTTACAGAAAAAGTTTAATGACCCCTGGTATAAACGAATTTGTAGTACAAACATCAAAATGTCAACGTGGATAGTTCCAAGTGACAAGATTAGGGATGACAATTTTCCTCCTTTTTTTGTTTATATGTATTTCTTAAATGTCCTTAAATGGATAAATATTTCTTTAAAGATGAGAAAAGGAAGTGATATATTGAGAAAGACTCAGGAAGAAGAAAGAGAACCTCAGTGCTGCCTTTTCTGATCATTATATACTCATTATTACAAATATTCTGTGTATGAAGACCCAGAGGAAACTTTTCAAAAAAAGTATTTTTTTTACATGAAGTCTCACTCTGTAACCCAAACTAGATACAGCAGCACAATCTCAGCTCACTACAACCTCTTCCTTCAGAGCTCAAGTGTTATCATGCCTCAGCCTCCAGAATAGCCTGGATTATAGGCACCCACCATCATGCCCGGCTAATTTTTTGTGTTCTAGTAGAGGTGGGGTTTCACCATGTTACTCAGGGTGGTCTCAAACTCCTGAGCTAAGGCTATCTGCCCAGCTTGGTCTCCCAAAGTGCTGGGATAACAGGTGTGAGCCACCATGCCCAGCCAAAAGTTTCTTCTTCTGAACAACAGGTTTCTTTTTCTCTTGTGGACATATTTAATAATGTAACTAACTGTTTATGTTTCCATCTTCATGTTACTCTTCAGAGCAGTGACAGATTAATTTCTAGCAAATATACAATCACTCCTGGCTCCATCTTATCCTCCTTCTACTCATACCCACTTTGCCATGGTGGCCTCATCTAGACTTACGATTAAATTAATTTTTTGTATTGTATGATTTAATGTAATCTACCTTAAATTCATTATTTAAAAAACCCACAGTGATTAGCATAGCAGCACAAACAAAAATAGTAAAAACAAAAGCACAAAGCTCTTGAAAGAGTTGGCATTAAGATTCAAATTAGACCTAGCAGTCTCTGAGAACAACAGACTCCTAACCCTGCCATGCTGCCTCGGATACTGGCCATCGATACTTCTGTTTAAGACTCTCCAGGGGGTTTAGGTTCAGAGCCTGAGCTGAGTTCTGATGAAATGGTACAAGCTTTGTTCTCTGTTCAAAGAATTGTTGGCATAAGTCAAGAAGGGCTTTTTTGTTTTTGTGTTTTCTGTTTCTTATTTTTCAAACTGATGCCTCAAATTCTATAAATGGGGGGAAAGCCTAGGCTGCTAAAGTCCTTACGCTTTTCCGCCTTCTCCAGTCACCCAAATAGAGTACGTGAAAAAGTAGGCATAATTTTGTCCTGAAAAAGTGAAATTATCATTTAGTAAGAAGTCATTAAACAACTACATTTTGAAGCTCTCAAAAAGAGTAGAGAATTTACTTCCTTCAGAGCAGGAGATGGAAATTGCAAATGATTAATAATTTGGCTTTCTCCAGTTTCTTCCTTAATTTCTAGAGTCTAGGCTTGTGAAAAACATCAAGTAGATTAATTCGGCCGGGCGTGGTGGCTCACCCTTGTAATCCCACCACTCTGGGAAGCTGAGGCAGGTGGATCGTCTGAGCTCAGGAGTTTGAGACCAGCCTGGGCAACATGTCCAAATCTGTCTCTAACTAAAATACAAAAAATTTTCCAGGCAATGTGGCAGATGCCTATAATCCCAGCTACTCCAGAGACTGAGGTGGGAAAATTGCTTGAGCATGGGAGGCGGAGGTCACAGTGAGCTGAGACTGTGCCACTGCACTCCAACCTGAATGACACAGTGAAACCCCGCCTCAAAACACACACACACGCAAACACACACACAAAGATTAATTTATATACCATTCTGAAAACCATGCCAGACACATAAGAAGCTCTCAACAATGTTAGCTCCTAGTGTTACTTTCTGATGCTTCCTCAGTTAGAATAATTCTGAGAGAAGATAAGAATTACAATGGTACCATAAAAACCCTAGAAGGAAATCTAGGCAAAACCATCCAGGACATAGGAGTAGGCAAGGACTTCATGAACAAAACACCAAAAGCATTGGCAACAAAAGCCAAAATAGACAAATGGGACCTAATGAAACTCCACAGCTTCTGCACGGCAAAAGAAACAGTCACTAGAGTGGATCGGCAACCAACAGAATGGGAAAAAATTTTCGCAGTCTACCCATCTGACAAAGGGCTGATATCCAGAATTTACAAAGAACTCAAACAGATTTATAGGAAAAAAACAAACAAGCCCATTCAAAAGTGGGCAAAGGATATGATCAGATACTTTACGAAAGAAGACATATATGAGACCAACAATCATATGAAAAAATGCTCATCGTCACTGGTCATCAGAGAGATGCAAATCAAAACCACATTGAGATACCATCTCACGCCAGTTAGAATGGCGATCATTAAAAAATCTGGAGACAACAGATGCTGGAGAGGATGTGGAGAAAAAGGAACACTTTTACACTGTTGGTGGGAGTGTAAATTAGTTCAACCATTGTGGAAGACAGTGTGGCGATTCCTCAAGGCCTTAGAAATAGAAATTCCATTTGACCCAGCAATCCCATTACTGGGTATATATCCAAAAGACTATAAATCGTTCTACTATAAGGACACATGTATACGAATGTTCATTGCAGCACTGTTTACAATAGCAAAGACCTGGAATCAACCCAAATGCCCATTGATAATAGACTGGATTGGAAAAATGTGGCACATATACACCATGGAATATTATGCAGCAATCAGAAATGATGAGTTTGTGTCGTTTGTAGGGACATGGATGAATCTGGAAAACATCATCCTCAGCAAACTGACACAAGAACAGAAAATGAAACACTGCATATCCTCACTCATAGGTGGGTGATGAAAAATAAGAACACATGGACACAGAAAGGGGAGTACTAAACACTGGGGTCTATTGGGGGGAAAAGGGGAGGGCCAGTGGGAGGGGGAGGTGGGGAGGGATAGCCTGGAGAGAAATGCCAAATGTGGGTGAAGGGGAGAAGAAAAGCAAAGCACACTGCCATGTGTGTACCTACGCAACTGTCTTGCATGCTCTGCTCATGTACCCCAAAACCTAAAATCCAATAAAAAATTAAAAAAAAAAAAAAAAAGAATTACAATGGTAAGCATCTGAAGATTTATATTTAAGGGGATTCTTTCTTGGATGAGGTATTCATAAATTAATATCACCAGCTTCAAATCCATGTCTTTACCAGTTCATCTCTTTGCAAGTCTCTTAGGGCAAATATTTCCTTCCCCTTTTCATTGAACAATCTCCGAGCTACAGAAGGTAAATTTAAAATCTCAGTGCACCTGTAAATAAAAGACACAAAAATTGATCTTGATACCGAAAGCTTCCAGCAGCAAAGAGAGAAAATTAAAAAAAATCAGGAACCTGAATCCTTAATGACAACTCTCTCCTAGGGACTGTCAGTCATAAGCTGGACTCTGGGGCCCGTCAGATCCATTTGAGTCTCATTTTCCTCTCCAAATTGTGGCTCTTGGGGAAATTATTTAACCTGTCTAAGGCTGGATTTCTCACCTTCCAGGGTCTCTGTGAAGATTAAAGGTTGCTTTTGAAAAGGGCTCTTAGCACAGTGCCAGACAGGACCAATAAATAGGTAGACACACTGCCATTGACTTTTCGTTCTTCAATATGCCCCACACTTTCCTATTTCTGTGCCTGTGCTCTTTCTCCTACCTAAAACAAATCTTCGGCTTTTTCTGTTGCAGTTTTGCTCTTTCTCCAAGGTTGTCAAAGTCAAATTTGTCACCAACTTCTTCATCTCCTTCTACCAGAAGTGATGACTATAGCCCTTTAACTACCTTTCAAACAGAAGTTTTTAGCCTGGTTAAACATTAAACATTGATTTCCCACTCCCACAATCCCCTACCCTCCCAAACAAGCACTGGACAAGCTTGTTGAGATGAATGACAGTTTCGTGGTTCCCTGAGGAGCTCCCAATCTGGTCAGGGTAGGGAAAGGTCAGTAACTGAGATGTAATATGAAGTCATGGGTGCTGCCATAGGCACCTGCCAGTGTGCTTTCAGAACAGAGGGGAACACAATCAATTTTTCCAGGGAAGTCTTATCTAAGGGAGTGACATTTGGGTTGGATTTTAAAGGATAAATGGAAGTTTATCCAAAATGACTAGACTGGAGCTGAGTGTATGGGCATGAGGAGAGTATGGTCCAGATGAAACTGAAAAAGAAAACAGAAACCAACTGAAAGCACTTGGGATTCTAGACCGATGAACCTGCCTTCTAGCCCATAAGCAGCAGAAAGCCGCTGAAGGCATTACAGCAGATACGTAGTGTTATCAGGTCTGCTTTTTAGAAAGTTAACTGTCAGAAAGGTGGAAAATGGGCTGGAGGTTGGAGGGGATGGACCCTAGAAAGCAAGTTTTAGGAGAGATGAAAATGGGTGGAATTGTGAGGAAAAAGTAGAGCTGAAAAAGAGACTGATGGAGCATTTCCTAAACAATACTGTGGAACTATCCTGCCCATGGAAGAAGTAAAAGATTCTTGCTAAATATGTTTTGTGTTAGAATGTACTGTTCACAGTAAATGAACTTCAGTTCACTTTATGCTCATCAGCAAGTCATAGCTTTTTAAAGAATGTTTCTAAATTTTATTTCCTCACTGGGATAAATAAATTAAATGGATAATCAGGCTCTCCATTTCTCTAAGGGTTGTTTAGAAGTAAACAAAGAAGGCTGGGTATGGTGGTCCACACCTGTAATCCCAGTACTTGGGAAGGCCAAGGCAGGAGGACCACTTGAGGCCAGGAATTCAAGACCAGCCTGGAAAACATAGCAAGAACCCATATTAAAAAAAAACAATTAAAAAATTAGCCACCCATGGTGGTGTATGCCTGTGGTCCCAGCTACTTGGGAGGCTAAGGCAGAAGGATTGCTTGAGCGCAGAAGGTTGAGGCTGCAGTGAGCTATGATCATGCTACTGTACTCCAGCCCAAGCAACAGGGTAAGACCCTATTTCCAAAAAAAAAGCAGCTGGGTGTGGTGGCTCGTGCCTGTAATCCCAGGACTTTGGGAGGCCGAGGCGGGCGTATCACCAGGTCAGGAGACTGAGACCATCCTGACCAACATGGTGAAACCCCATCTCTACTAAAATACAAAAAAATTAGCTGGGCGTGGTGGTGCAAGTCTATAGACCCAGTTACTCAGGAGGTTGAGGCGGGGGAATCACTTGAACCCGGGCAGCAGAGGATGCCATGAGCTGAGATTGTGCCACTGCACTGCAGCCTGGGGAAAAGAGCAAGACTCCACCTCAAAAAAAAAAAAAAAAGTAAATAAACCAGTGAGAATTAAGTCCTTGCTTCTCATGTCACAACTCTGGAGGCTGATGGACTAGTGAGGAATGGGAATGGCCATGGCCATGTCCCTCGTACATAGGTTGGTGGGGTAGGGGTGGGAGGTAACTGTAAGATAATTGAGTGCCAGTCTCAACATTTGCCTGCTTCTGTTTGGATGATACCCAAAGACCCATTTTACATGGAGCAGGGGAGAGACAGAACCTTGTGAGAGACAGGTATCTAAGAGAAGGCCAAAGGGAGAAGAAAATGAAATACAAAGCAACAGAATGAAATGAAATACAAAACAAAATCAACAGAAATGCGAAACAAGAAAAATTTTTTAAAAAGAAAGAAACCCCATTAGTTCTACTTTCCCCCAGTTGATATATTTGGGGACCCAAGCAGTTAAACTGTGGCCTGAGAAGAGTTACCATCATTCTATCTGTCCCACTCACACTTTCCTGAGGAGAATGTTTGGACCAAGGGAGTATCCTGTTTTAGGACAACAGGTGAGAGGAGAGAAGGAATAGGTGGTTAGGGAAGCTTTGTTCCTCCTTTGTTTCTTTTTGAAAGCTTGATGTTAATGTTGAATTTTGCCCAAGTAGTGGGAGAGGATTTGGATAGAGTTTCCTGTATACTTAATTTCTCTAACTAGTTCACAAACTGGCCAATATAAATGGGGAGAGAAGAAGATAAAAACTGGTTCTTAAACACCCAGCAAGGAGGCCAGGCGCAGTGGCTCATGCCTGTAATCCCAGGACTTTGGGAGGTTAAGGCAGGCAGATCATGAGGTCAGGAGATCGAGACCATCCTGGCCAACATGGTAAAACCCCATCTCTACTAAAATACAAAAAATTAGCCAGGTGTGGTGGTGCGTGCCTGTAGTCCCAGCTACTCAGGAGGCTGAGGCAGGAGAATCACTCGAAACTGGAATGTGGAGGTTTCAGTAAGCTGAAATTGTGACACTGCACTCCTGGCGACAGAGAAAGACTCTGTTAAAAAACACATACACATGTGTGTGTGCACGCACACACACACACACACATCTAATGTGGGCTCTGCAGTGAGATTGCCTGGGTTCAAATTCTAACCTCTCATACACTGGCCATATTACCTTGGAAAAGTTACTTAACTTCTCGGATCCTCATCTGACGCATCAGTAAAAGATGGCTATAGTAGCCTTTACCTCATTAGAGATTTTTACAGAGTATGGATACTGTAAAGTGCGTGGCATATAAAAAGTCAGCAACACATTATTAAAATGGAACAAACACTGCAAGCATTTCATATCTACTCTCTCATTTAATTCTCACACCATTTCTGAGTAGCCCATTTTACTGAGGAGGAGACTGAATCTCCTCCTCAGTAAAGTTAAGTTTCTTGGCCAAGTTCACATAGACAGTAAATGGGACAGCTGATATTCAAGCCTACATCTTTCTGGATCTTTTATTGCCTCATATGGTCTCCTGAGAGGGCATCATCATAGAATGATATTAGATCTAGAAAGGAAACCAAGATGCAGACTCAGATTTCTCTGTTATGTGGAGGCAAAGGCCCTAGAAATAAGGTCTTCTTTCTCTTTCTCTCACCACCAGAGTGGATAGGCAACCATGAGGTCTGTTTGGGTTTATAGAGAGTGCAGGCATCTTACCTCTGACTTTACTTTTTCAGTGCTGGAGCAAATAAGGAGAGCAGGTGGAGCTGATACCTGAGGACTGTATTTCAGTATAACCCAAGGTGTCCCAGAGACAAAAGGGGAGTGGGGAAAAGAAAGGAGCTATGTCTCCCAAATCACAGTCAGCTACAGCTGTGCAGCAGTAGAGCTATTATGCCAATCACTTGCCAAGACACTCTGCCCCAGAAGCTCTTCCACACTCTTACAGTTCTTTCCAAACAGTAACAAAACCTTCAAGAAGCTATGGTCACGTGCGTTCTCCTTTTCTTTATCTTCTTGCTTTGGATTTTTGTCTCATTTTCTTTCCTCTCTACGTGGCCTTCTACAACAGCTGCTCCTTACAATGTTCTCTCTCTTTCCTGGTTATATATAAACCAGGAAATATATCATATATAAATGATCCCTTGATCATTTTCAATTCTGTGTGGTTAAATACTGCTGCAGGTGGCTGTATGATTGTTTAACTAAGCAAATTTTCTTCCCCTAAAGTTAGTTAGGAGTTCCTTGAAAGCAAGCAATGCCTCTTTCTAAAAAAAAAAAAAAACAAAAAACCTCCAGCAGATAACCTCCAACACTGGTTCATGTACATAATATAAATACAACAAATGCCTGTTGATTTAACAGTTGAGGAAAACAAGGCTTGGAGAAGGGCAGGACTTTGTTAAAGTCTTCCAGCTAGTTAGTGGCTGGGGTTAAAATAATTCCTTTGCCTCCTAATCGAATGGTCTTTCCAATATTCTATGTTGCCAGCAACTTTTCAGAAAGTAGAAGGTACCAACAACAATAAAAGGTCTGTATCTATTATTCTAAAATGGAATTTACTATACTATTAGATCATCCTTCATTTTTATAGATGGAAAAACCAACAACAAAGAGAACCTCAGAATTGCCTAATGTGAATTATTAAATAACTAAAGATAGCATAATTTTCCTTAAACTCAATAAAACCATCCCCTCATATTTGACAAGGCAAAAAAAGTTCATACCAAGTGCTCCAACCTTTTGGCAGTGATCTAATTCCTGATTTGGCAGAAATTTTTCTTAATTAAAGAAAAATTTTTCTTGATTAAAGAAAAATTTTGAAGAAAAAAATCAAGGAATTTTTCTTGATTAAAGAAAAATTATGACATATTTCCTAAACATGATATATGTTAATGCTAGAGCTTAGATGTTTGTCTTCTGCAAACCTCATGTTGAAACTTGATCTCCAATGGTGGAGGTGATAACTAATGGGAGGTGTTTGAGGCATGATGGAAGACCCCTCATGAACAGACTAATGACTCACCCTGGGGGCCAGTGAGTTCTCACTCTATCAGTTATTTGAGAACTGATTGCTAAAAAGATGATGGCACCTTCCCTCTCTCTTGCTTCTTCTCTGCCACGTGGTCTCTGCATTTGCCAGCTCCTCTTCAACTTCTGTGGTGAGTGGAAGCAGCCTGAAGCCCTCACCAGATGCAGATGCCCAATCCTGAACTTTCCAGCCATCAGAATCATGAACCACATAAACCTTTTTTTCTTTATAAATTAACCAGCCTTGGGTATTTCTTTATAGTAACGCAAAACAGACTAGGACAGTCATATTTTAAAAATTGGTTTATAATAAGTAAAATATAAAAACTTAACTTCCTCACTCTGAATTTAAGCAAATATAAACCAAAGGTCCTATAAATTGTGAAATATATTTTTAATGATATTAATTTATATTTATAGAATTGGTCATTCAGAAAGCTAGGGAAATTTGCTAGACCTTGATATTTGGCAGAAAAAATAGTATTAATTACCATTAGTATCATAGGTTCACATAGTTTATATATTTCACAGATTAGAAACTCCAGAATCATTATATTAACAACTGTTTTCTTAGGTAGGTGTATATATATAAAATGTTTTACCTGTTATAAACCAATTATATATATATATATTTAAATTGGTTTATCATAGGTAAAGTATAAAAATTTAACTACCCCACCCTTAATGCAAGCATATATAAATCAAATATAACATACTATATTTAAGTATATATATGTGTGTGTGTGTGTGTGTATATATATATATATATATATATATAGAAAGAGAGAGAGAGAGAGAAAGAGAGAGTATATATATCACATATACCATATATGTAGTATGCTATCTGTTATAAACAATCTGTTTAAATTCAGGTATTTAAATGGAAAAAAAATTTGCATTCAGGATATTAAGTATTTACCTTTCCAAAAATTGGTGAAATTCTATCTGATCCATTTCTGTTTCAGAATATTTAGTGACACAGATTTTCTCTTTCTTTTCCGTGTTAACACTTCTGAAACAAATGATCCAAGATTCGATTGATATGTCAGAATGCACTGTCAATTATCTCTTGACATACTTTAATATATGAAGAATTATAAACTCTTAGTTTATCATGATTTACCCTAATCTCTTTCTTTAAAAAATATAGTTTTTAAAACTAGTTTCAAAAACTATCACAATGAAATATTAAATTTCATATTAAATATTAAATAAAATAACATGTTGTAAATATTTATACTACAAGTAATTTTATAAGACAATACATTTTCACTATTTTGTTTCTCTTCTAATAATGTTTTCTAAAAATACAATGCTGAACACTATGAAATACAAATTTTTCAACTCTGAAGAAAATTCAGAGATTGCATTCATTTTACCTGTAATTTTTTATTCATATATTATCTTATTATTAACCCCAAATTTAAAAGTTTTAAACTGAATAAAAAGATGATCATAAAAAGAGATGCTTAATTTGAATGTACATCTGCTTAAAGTTTCAAGTTAGAAAACTGTTTTGTGCATTTTTTAGAATCTGTATATTTTATTAAATTAAATAGTTATCAAATACTGTAATCATTCCTTCATTACAAATGGTGATCAAATATAGCTAACCATTTATTCATTCAGAAGGCATTAATTTCAGGCCTATGCAGACCTTTAATCAAGTGGTTGACAAAGTGACTCTCCAATACCTTAATACTTGATTCATCAGAACACAACGAACTATGATCATAACACCTCAGACTGCACATCTGCTATGAATGAAGCATCCCTGTTCTCTATCTCATGAATGGAACATAAGCAGATAATCATGAAACAGAATGTAGTTGCTGTACTCTTGGAAGACCCAGGGCTATAATAGTGGAGTACATAGCAGCCACAACTAACTCGAGAGGAGAGAGTGTCTCATTCAGGGTCAACATCTGGAAAGGAATTCTAAACTCATTCTCAGAAGACCTTGGTGGTGGGTGGTTTAAGAGTGGGAATGGGGGAGTGTCAATAGGAAATAGGGCTAGAGAAATATGCTGGGATAGGTCATAAAAGGACTTACAAGCTGTATTAGGGAGTTAGAGTAAGTTCAGAGATCATAACTTACTAATAAGTAATACATATATTGAAATCATCTAAAATATAAAATTTACTTCAGAAGCCTCATCTTGGGCCTTTCCTTTTAAAATTCCTTAAATATCACTCATAAAATTTTCCTTGTTTAACTTACGTTACTGAGATGAAATTTGCCTGTGACACAGAAACATTTATGAAAGTCTTAATTTATATGAACTTAAGTTCATATAAACAGTCTTAAGACTAACTGACAAGATTTCGTCATTCACTAGAGTAATAATTGACTAAGTAATGAACAAATGCTATTTGATTTTCCTTAGGCTTTGTAGATGAAAGAACCAATAACAACAACAAAATCTCCTCAAAACTATCTCCAGTAAATTATTAAATAGCTAAAGGACAGCATGTTACTAGAGCAGGATTTGGTTATAGTATATCTATATTTCATCAGTCTAGCATGATTGTGCTTGTAAAGACACTAAACAGTCCAACACTCTTTCTTCTTAAAAGTTAGTTTCAGGTTCAGGCAAGTAATATATCCTTATATGTCAATGGAAGTTATTTCTTCCGGAAGATACGTAATTTGTATTTATTAAAGGCACACAAGGCACAGCAGGGCTTCTGCCTGGCACAACTCTAGGATGCCATTCATACAGATAACAATGTGTAGCTGGGACCACAGGCATGCACCAACAGGCCTGGCTAATTTTTTATTTTTTTTTTTAAATATGAGATCATGTTATGTTGCCCAGACTGGTCTTGAACTCCCGGCCTAAAGTGGTCCTCCTGCCTTGGCCTCTCCAAGTGCTGGGAATACAATGTGAATGGTGCTCTCTAAAGCTGGGCAACACAGCCACCTTGCAATGTAAGCCAAGACTTTCCAATTCAACCTTCTGAGAACCAGTATTCACATCCAGCTCCAGTGGTAGGGTGGAGGTTTGCGGGGGAATGCTACTGATGCTCTTATAGAATGTTTTCTGAATCTGCAGAGAAAGATTAAACCATATGTAGCAGAGTTTAAGTGTTAAGTGTATGTCAGTGTATTTTAATTATTTGAGAGTAATTAATTCATATGGTGAACAAAGTAATTCTAATACCTGAATACTTAATGAACTGGGACACACTGTTCCATGAGCGTAGCATAAAGGCAGCACAGCATTTCACACACTCTCTGCTAGAACAGCTGTCTGCATTTACCATTTCAATCTCTTAAAATCTGGATTACCTGACTGAACCACGCATTTTCAAACATTGATGTGATAAGATAACATCTGTATGTGACTTTGAGGCACAATTAAAGATACAAAACAAGAAAAGAAATGAATGTAGGAAGAGACAGAAATTTTGGGTTAACTTTGGGTATTATTTTTGAAAAGTCATACACTACTTTAAGGACATTACCCTCACATTTTACATCTAGCAGAATGAGCTAATTATGAAATGTATGCGTCAAAGAATTCAATTTCAGGCTTGACTTTACTTTGAAGATTAATTTTTTACTTTATCATCTGTACAGGCAGTTCAGTGGTCAACCAATCTGAATGTTACTCATTGTTCAGCGATGTATGAAGTATATTTTAATCAATGTGAGGAAAGTAATATTAAACTATTATCAGCAGCCTCAAATATTCTAAACATCTCAAAAGAAAGGTCAAGAGGTAATATCACTGCTAATAATATGAGAAACAATGTGTTAACTCATTCTTTACATCAGAGCTCTTCAATTATCTAAGATTCCTTGTGTCATAAAATGAAATGAAAATGTAGCAGGTGAATTTTCTCCAATGTTGGAGAAATATGGGCTGTTGGGAAAATTATATTCCAATCATAAGGTAAGCAGAAGTGTCAATAAATGCTTTTCTGGGGTGATAAACTTTTAAAATGTTATTCCAAGGAAGACTATAAATTATATAAAGTTATACTTTTGAGAACTATATTTGTTCATTAAATATTCCAAAGATTTAAACATAATTGTGTATAATTTAACTGAAATAAGGAATTACAAAAGCATATTTAAGCAGGATGTTGAGTTCAACTATTTGAAGACATATTTTTAAAACTCAAATGAAAATGCCAATTCAAATATACATTCATCATAAAACTTTTAAAAACAGAACTTTTAAAAATCAGAGCCACTCATTTCTAATCCATTATCTTCTAAATCAGCAGAGTTCAAATTAACTTCCTGATGAAGAAGCAAAATGAATCTTAGTCTCTATTTTCATCTTCAAATATCAATATGGGAGCCCTTTTGCTAAACAAATACAGAATTCCCACAGAGAAACATCCATAATGAAGGAGACAAAAATCTGTAGAAACTAGAAAGTTATTTAATAAGTTTGAACAAGTTGTTCTTACTGTGTTTTCCATCCAGGTGAGATGTCTGGACCAAGGATAGTAAGGGATCTGTTTTTAATCCTGTCTCCATTCCGCAAAACTCTTAGTCGCACAGGGGTGTATGGCTCTGTTGTCTTACAGATGGGTTTCTTCATAGGAGGACTGCTCGGAATTAGCAGTCCTTGTATTGGCCAATCAAACTCCTTCAGAAAGAAATAACAAAAAAGTAACAATAAATATAGGAGAAGAGTCATTTCTAGATTTTAAAAAATACTAAACACTCTGTTTATACCTTTAATCTGTGATTCATTCAACAAAAATGTATTGGGGTACCTAAGATGCTCCAGACAATTTTAATTAATGTTTCATTTGAATAAAGAAGAAAGATAGTTATTTTTAAAATTTCTGTAACAACTTGTGTTATGCTGCAAGACAAATGATTCATTCCTTCTCAGGGAAACATCATTCTAGAAAAATAGAACTGGATGAACTTGGAGAATTTTTGCTTACATGTTAAATATCTTTAATCCATGTGAAGAAGGCATGTGACAAAAGTGGTTTTAAGATAGCCTAAAATAATACCACCTTAAATTAGATCTATTTGGCAAAATGGAATATATTTGGAGAATATTGCAAAAAAAAAGAATAAAATAAGGAGCATAAACACATTTCAAATATTTCAGTTGTAGAATTCAGTTACTTTTTTATTGTTTGTATCTATTCATCCATAAAATCATTTCTTGATTCATGTATTCTTCAAATATTTTTCAATATTTACCATATATTCTAGGCATGATGTTATGCACTGAAAATAAAACGATGAACCACACAAGATACTATTCCTCGAATAATTTATAGCAGGTCTTCAGAAACTTACCTAAATATAGACTGGCAATTACAATAGTCTGAGTATGATGACAGGGTACAGGTGTGATGGTACCACAAAGGAGGAGAACCTAACTCAGAAATGTCATAGAACTGAGTCCCAAAACCTTAGAAGGAGTTAATGCAGTCAAGGATGGGTCAAAAGAGGGATAGGGTAGATGTTTCAGACTTGAGGATTAATAGACTTTTATTGTTGGGGCAATAAAAGGAGGCAAGGGGGCTTCCATGTTCACAGCTTGAGTAACTGGGTGGATGGTACTGCTGTTCACAAGATAGACACTTATGTGTGAAAGAAGAGTAAATGCAGGAAGGGATGATCAGTGATGATGCTGGGAAAGGTCTGAGTTTGTTCTTTCTTTTTTTTTCTACTTTCATAAACAATTGTCCTGACAGCATCTCCTGTTAATCTGTAATGACCATTCTGTAAAATATCACTATTGCATGTAAATGTAGATCTGCTTTTGCTTCTTTTCAGTTTGTCAGCTTGTCTTTCCCTTCACAGTAATGTACTGCTGTGATTACAATATATTTTTATGTGGTTAGTCTTGGTAACTGCAAGGGCAAATAGGCTCACTTTGTTTTTCTTTTTTGGGAATTGGCTCTTTTTGGCCCTTTGCTATTTCATACACATGTATTAGCTTGGTTAGTTTTTTTTTTTTAATTTTTTATTGGATTATAGGTTTTGGGGTACATGAGCAGAGCATGCAAGACAGTTGCGTAGGTACACACATGGCAGTGTGCTTTGCTTTTCTTCTCCCCTTCACCCACATTTGGCGTTTCTCCCCAGGCTATCCCTCCCCACCTCCCCCTCCCACTGGCCCTCCCCTTTTCCCCCAATAGACCCCACTGTTTAGTACTCCCCTTTCTGTGTCCATGTGTTCTCATTTTTCATCACCCACCTATGAGTGAGAATATGCGGTGTTTCATTTTCTGTTCTTGTGTCAGTTTGCTGAGGATGATGTTCTCCAGATTCATCCATGTCCCTACAAACGACACAAACTCATCATTTCTGATTGCTGCATAATATTGCATGGTGTATATGTGCCACATTTTTCCAATCCAGTCTATTATCAATTGGCATTTGGGTTGATTCCAGGTCTTTGCTATTGTAAACAGTGCTGCAATGAACATTCGTGTACATGTGTCCTTATAGTAGAATGATTTATAGTCTTTTGGATATATACCCAGTAATGGAATTGCTGGGTCAAATGGAATTTCCATTTCTAAGGCCTTGAGGAATGGCCAAACTGTCTTCCACAATGGTTGAACTAATTTACACTCCCACCAACAGTGTAAAAGTGTTCCTTTTTCTCCACATCCTCTCCAGCATCTGTTGTCTCCAGATTTTTTAATGATCGCCATTCTAACTGGCGTGAGATGGTATCTCAGTGTGGTTTTGATTTGCATCTCTCTGATGACCAGTGACGATGAGCATTTTTTCATATGATTGTTGGCCTCATATATGTCTTCTTTCATAAAGTATCTGTTCATATCCTTTGCCCACTTTTGAATGGGCTTGTTTGTTTTTTTCCTGTAAATCTGTTTGAGTTCTTTGTAAATTCTGGATATCAGCCCTTTGTCAGATGGGTAGACTGCGAAAATTTTTCCCATTCTGTTGGTTGCCAATCCACTCTAGTGACTGTTTCTTTTGCCGTGCAGAAGCTGTGGAGTTTGATTAGGTCCCATTTGTCTATTTTGGCTTTTGTTGCCAATGCTTTTGGTGTTTTGTTCATGAAGTCCTTGCCTACTCCTATGTCCTGGATGGTTTTGCCTAGATTTCCTTCTAGGGTTTTTATGGTTCCAGGTCTTATGTTTAAGTCTTTAATCCATCTGGAGTTAATTTTAGTGTAAGGTGTCAGGAAGGGGTCCAGTTTCTGCTTTCTGCACATGGCTAGCCAGTTTTCCCAACACCATTTGTTAAACATGGAATCCTTTCCCCATTGCTTGTTTTTGTCGGGTTTATCAAAGATTGTATAGTTGTATGTATGTTGTGTTGCCTCCGGTGCCTCTGTTTTGTTCCATTGGTCTATATCTCTGTTTTGGTTCCAGTACCATGCTGTTTTGATTACTGTAGCCTTGTAGTATAGTTTGAAATCCGGTAGTGTGATGCCTCCCGCTGTGTTCTTTTTGCTTAGAATTGACTTGGCTATGCGGGCTCTCTTTTGGTTCCATATGAAGTTCATAGTGGTTTTTTCCAGTTCTGTGAAGAAAGTCAATGGTAGCTTGATGGGGATAGCGTTGATTCTGTAAATTACTTTGGGCAGTATAGCCATTTTCACGATATTAATTCTTCCTAACCATGAACATGGAATGTTTCTCCATCTGTTGGTGTCCTCTCTGATTTCGTTGAGCAGTGGTTTGTAGTTCTCCTTGAAGAGGTCCCTTACGTTCCTTATGAGTTGTATTCCAAGGTATTTTATTCTTTTTGTAGCAATTGCGAATGGCAGTTCGCTCTTGATTGGCTTTCTTTAAGTCTGTTATTGGTGTAGACGAATGCTTGTGATTTTTGCACATTGATTTTATATCCTGAGACTTTGCTGAAGTTGCTTATCAGTTTCAGGAGTTTTTGGGCTGAGGCGATGGGGTCTTCTAGGTATACTATCATGTCGTCTGCAAATAGAGACAATTTGGCTTCCACCTTTCCTATTTGAATACCCTTTATTTCTTTTTCTTGCCTGATTGCTCTGGCTAGAATTTCCAGTACTATATTGAATAGGAGTGGTGACAGAGGGCATCCTTGTCTAGTGCCAGATTTTAAAGGGAATGCTTCCAGTTTTTGCCCATTCAGTATAATATTGGCTGTTGGTTTGTCATAAATAGCTTTTATTACTTTGAGATACGTTCCATCGATACCGAGTTTATTGAGGGTTTTTAGCATAAAGGGCTGTTGAATTTTGTCAAATGCCTTCTTTGCGTCAATTGAGATAATCATGTGGTTTTTGTTTTTGGTTCTGTTTATGTGGTGAATTACGTTGATAGACTTGTGTATGTTGACCAGCCTTGCATCCCTGGGATGAATCCTACTTGATCATGATGAATAAGTTTTTTGATTTGCTGTTGCAATCGGCTTGCCAATATTTTATTGAAGATTTTTGCATCTATGTTCATCATGGATATTGGCCTGAAGTTTTCTTTTCTTGTTGGGTCTCTGCCAGGTTTTGGTATCAGGATGATGTTGGTCTCATAAAATGATTTGGGAAGGATTCCCTCTTTTTGGATTGTTTGAAATAGTCTTAGAAGGAATGGTACCAGTTCCTCCTTGTGTGTCTGGTAGAATTCGGCTGTGAACCCGTCTGGACCTGGGCTTTTTTTGTGTGGTAGGCTCTTAATTGCTGCCTCAATTTCAGACCTTGTTATTGGTCTATTCATAGTTTCAGCTTCCTCCTGGTTTAGGCTTGGGAGGACATAGGAATCCAGGAATTTATCCATTTCTTCCAGGTTTACTAGTTTATGTGCATAGAGTTGTTTGTAATATTCTCTGATGATGGTTTGAATTTCTGTGGAATCTGTGGTGATTTCCCCTTTATCATTTTTTATTGCATCTATTTGGTTGTTCTCTCTTTTCTTTTTAATCAATCTGGCTAGTGGTCTGTCTATTTTGTTGATCTTTCAAAAAACCAGCTCTTGGATTTATTGATTTTTGAAAGGGTTTTTCGTGTCTCAATCTCCTTCAGCTCAGCTCTGATCTTAGTTATTTCTTGTCTTCTGCTGGGTTTTGAGTTTTTTTGATCTTGCTCCTCTAGCTCTTTCAATTTTGACGATAGGGTGTCAATTTTGGATCTCTCCATTCTCCTCATATGGGCACTTATTGCTATATACTTTCCTCTAGAGACTGCTTTAAATGTGTCCCAGAGGTTCTGGCACGTTGTGTCTTCGTTCTCATTGGTTTCGAAGAACTTCTTTATTTCTGCCTTCATTTCGTTGTTTACCCAGTCAACATTCAAGAGCCAGTTGTTCAGTTTCCATGTAGCTGTGCGGCTCTGGATCGGTTTCTGAATTCTGAGTTCTAACTTGATTGCACTATGGTCTGAGAGGCTGTTTGTTATGATTTCAGTTGTTTTGCATTTGTTGAGCAGTGCTTTACTTCCAATTATGTGGTCAATTTTAGAGTAGGTGTGATGTGGTGCTGAGAAGAATGTGTATTCTGTGGATTTGGGGTGGCGAGTTCTGTAAATGTCTATCAGGTTTGCTTGCTCCAGGTCTGAGTTCAAGCCCTGGATATCCTTGTTGATTTTTTGTCTGGTTGATCTGTCTAGTATTGACAGTGTAGTGTTAAAGTCTCCCACTATTATTGTGTGGGAGTCTAAGTCCTTTTGTA